ATGATCAGGGTCATGGGGTCAAAGGTCAGGCTCCCACTTCCACTGGCTTTACACTGTACTAGTTCAGTATTAGTGGATTTTCCGTGGAACGTCTCTCTAGATTATTTGTGGGAATTGAGCAAACCTGAAATATTCCTAAGAAAATGCATCTTGAGAAGCTGAACCTCATTGGTGCGATGCTATTGGCTGGTGTTTGCAAAGCATCCAATCCAGGAGTGTCATTTATTCTCCTTGGCACTGATTGGCTGAACCCGACGACCATAGGTGTTTGCTGCTGTTGTTGTGCTAAGACGGTTTCTACTGTGTGTATTAATGCATATTAATGTATATTTAGTGTTTAAACAAATAAAATAGTCCGTTTTAAGTGTTTTTAGAGTGGATGTAATCCCAGTGATCCACTATAATTGATTAACCAATCCTTTTGATGCAATCCCAGATTAACAGATTATTGTGCTAGATCAACTGGTAGATTTTTTTTTACTTTCAACACATTTAACATAAATGTTAAATAATCTGCCAGTGGAACTAGCACTTTTTTTTTAAAATCAATATTAAGGAAGTATTTACTTAAAACAAGCTGCTATATCTTGCTGAAAAGTTACTTGTAAGTTAGTTTTTTCTGATTTCTAGTGTATTTAGATACTTGACATGAAACTAGACCAAAAAAAATCTTGTTAAGCTTCATTGTTTTTGCAGTGTAACATTAACCTATAACATGGGTATCTGGGTTGTTTCTGCGGGTCTCGTGCCAGGGTTTGTTTTTAGCAGATTCAGTTTCAGAGCTGATTACAGGAACTGCCCGCTGGAAGTGTTTATGTTTTTGAGGACAATCTGCTGTGGCGGACATCGCTCGCCGCTGAACGCAGCAGTATGAGCGGACCAATATGCTGATTCACAGAATCTGCTAGAACACATTAAAGGCCTTATTTTCAAGGAGAGCATGTTTTAAAGCCCAGTTCTGTCTGCTGCTGGTCGGGCTGTAACGGCGGACTGCAGGCTGCTGCTCATTAATTGTTTTAGATGCACTACATTAGCCCTGACTAGGTATTATGCTAATATATGATGTTAGCTGACTAATGACAAAATGAAGGAAATCACAAAACAAGTAAACAAACCAAGAAATAGAAAAAGGATATCTAACTAGTTGAGTAATTTAGAATGAAACTTTTAAAACTAAAGTTTGGTATTGTTAGCATTGAACAGATTTACATATATTAAAAATTACTAAGTATTGCACAGCTACGGCAAGATATTGGTGTATTTATTTTATGTCTTTGATTTCAGGTGAGATTTTTTTACTTATTTTTTTGCCTACTAGTTTGCGGCTTGTGGGTAAATGAAAAAAGCAAGTCTAGTCAAGTTTGTTTGTATTTATATGCAAGTTCAATGTGCTTAACACTATAAAAACGTAACACAGTGACCAATTATGAACCAGCAGTTAACATTATTTATGATAAATGTCATCAACCGAATCACCAAGCAAAGATGCATCAGATATGTTGATCAATATTCTTGTTATTGTGAATCAAAAGCAACTCGAAGCAGGAGGGCTTTTAGTCTAGATTTAATGGAAGTCAGTGTTTTGGCTGTTTGTTCCAGATCTGTGGAGCATAGAAGCTGAATGCTGCTTCTCTATGTTTGGCTCTGGTTCTTCAGACCAGAACCAGAAGACCTAAGAGGTCCGGATCTTTAATGATTTGTGTTGCTAAGCCGTTCAATGATTTATAAACCAAGAGTCTGTTCTCCTAAATTAAAGCACCAAGATAATTTATGTGCAGGCGAAAATGACTGAGCTCTCCAGGTTTCTGCTTGTCCAGTGAGCAGGACGGTGGAGTGGACGTTGCTGCTGTGATCGGGTCGGGATTAGATTATTTAAAGATGGACTTGAAGTGCGTCACGTAAACCCCTTAAGGCGGTATTTATACCGCCCTGACTTTTATGCCGCACGGCGCCTCAATGCTAATAGCTGCTGTTCCCTTCTCCTATTTATAACCGCGTCTTCTTTATTTGCCTCTTTCCCCCTTTCCTTCCCTCTGTTTCTCCATGCCGTTTGCGTCACTCTATCTGTGCATTGACAGAGGTGCAGAGGCGGCTTCGCTGAAACAGAAGCTGTCCTCCTTTCTCTCCGTCTCTCTCTCTCTCTCTCTCTCTGTGTCACACACTCAGCCCCAAACAGAATAACTGTTATTTAAAGACGAGAGCGGCTCATTTAAGGAAAAAAAAGCCTCAGAGAGACGGAGAAGAGGAAGGGAAAGATGGAGGGAGAGGACCAAGGGAGGTACCCAGGGATGGAAAGATGAGAGAGGAGGAGGAAGAGGATGATGTCATTCTTTAACCCTATACCACTCCCCTCTTCTTCCTCCTTTTTCCTCCCTATTCTCCACCTTCTCTCTCTCTCCAGAAGGACTATATTTAGATTTATGCAGCTGTGTGTGTTTGAGCTGCTGATTCTTATGTATCGCTGCTCCTTTTACCAAGCCCTCCTCTTCCTCCTCTCCATTTTTCCCAGCCACATCATTGCTCCCTCACCTTTTTGCAGATGTTGTATAATTATCAACAAGGCTTATTTAAAGTGAAAAACATCTCGTCTCTGCAGCCCAACTCTGTTTAAATAATGTCCCTGTGTCATACAAAAAGTGCCATCACTTTAAAAAATAAAAATAAAAATATCTAACGCAAACACACGGATGCTTTCAGGGGTGACTGAGAGCAAAACTGGAAATAATATTGTGTACAAAAAAATACTAGCAGTAAATACCGCCTTTGTTTATGTAAATAGCAAAGCGCTGCTGCTTTATTTCTACACGGCCTCTACAAACACAGGCAGCGTGTGACTCACTGCCAGAGGAACATTTCTGTTGGAGGGATGGATCACATTTTATTTTATTTTTTTCAAATGAGCATCTATTTAAAAGGCACGATTGGATTTTGACTCTATTGTTAAACTTAAAATTGCACTTCTAATGGCAATTTAAATTAAATATTAAAATTTAAATTAAGAATGTCTGTTTTGTATTTTCATAAATACAGTAAAATGTACATAAATCTGTAGTCATTGTGGAATATTTTACTCTGGTTTTGATTAGTCTGTGGTTGTGTCCAGATTCAGGGGCTGCATCTCTAAAACGTTCAGATTCGTTCCCGCTCTTGCCTCAGAGTTTGCTCTGTTGCCTAGCAACCGTGACATCAGAATTCCAACGTAATGGAATGTAGCTGTTGAGTTTTCCAACAGCCAAAAAATAAAATAAAGAAATCCAGCCTCTAAGTAGAAATAAAACGCCACAGCTCTTAGTGTCTGTGCTTTGATAAAACTGAACTTAAGTTTCCCATTTCATCAAATCCAGTTAACTTTAATTAAGATGCTTGTTAGCTAACAGCTAGCTGTTTCTCAGCAGATAGCTACAATAGATGATAAGCTATCAGTTAATAGCTAAATATTAACTGGGAGGTAATATTTAATATACTAGTTAGCTATATCAGTTAACATTTCAGCAGTTAGTTAACAGTTAATTAGCTGTTAACTAGCTGCTAACTATTAACTGTTAGTTAACTGCTGAAATATTGTTAGCTAGCACTACTAGTTAACAGTTCATCAGTTAGCTAACAGCTAATAGTTAGCTAATAGCTAACAGTTAACTAACTGTTCAGCTGTTAGCTAACGGTTTGCTAATTATTAACTGTAGGCTATGTTAACTGTTATTTAATACCTAAATGCTAACTATTAGCATTTAGCCAACATCTTTAACTACCTAGCAAGACAGCTAACAGTTAGCTAAACAGTATGTCAATCAAAAGGAGTACCTGCTATGTTAAAAAAGCCCTTGTGATAGTTTTTTATGTTAACATTGTTTGAACACTGATATCATGATTGTATTTAGCAGTTATTTAAAAAAAATAAAGGCATTAAAACATCAACATGTGTGCAATTAGTCTATATGTTGTGTTTCACTAAATTGAGTTTGTGAAATAAATGAACTTTTCAATAATATTCTAATATACTGAACAAGCCTGTACCTGCTTCACCTTTCTAATGAAAACATGACAGATTAGAATATTACACCAGGCCAATATTACACCAGACTATATATATATATATATATATATATATATAACAAAAAGCTTTAGTAATACCTGTGTAAAGGTAATTTTAATTTGACAAACAAGCCTCAGCAGAGCTCACAGTCTAATTTATTTTGTAGGCTGTGTTGCAGTAAGTGTGAGGTGTTTCCTGCTATAGAATCTATCAGATGTAAAATCAAGGTTAAAAATAAAAATAGTATAGTTCACTTGACCGGCCGGCGGGCTGAGGTTCTGTTCGCAGTGTGTGTTTCACAGAGGAAGGTCATTTTTATCGACTGCAGCCCACTGCACTCCTTAAAAGAAAAGAAGCCGTACATCGGGTCTCCTGTGTGAGCCTCAGTGTGTTTGGCATTATTTCCCACAATGCTGAGGTGGCTTTTTTAATTACTTGTCACACGGGTTGAAATGTTGTGACACACTCCGGTGACGAGACCAAAACTGGTTTCATTTTAGAGCCGATAACATCGTCAGGTCTAATGATTCCCTCAGTATTTCATTAGGAAGTCAATCATTTTGGCTTGTTGTGCAGTAATTGTTCTATGTGCACAAAGTTTTACTCTGATTTCCATCCTCTCTCCTTTTTTCTACGTACTTTTTCATCCACGTTTATATGTTTTTTCTCGGTTTTGTTGCAAGCAGTCTTCAGCAGCAGGAGCTGCTGCCAGGTCTCCGGAGCAACAACTAATTTGAAAGTCTTTTTACAAAACGTCCCAGTAATTGAGGAAGGCACTGTAAATTTAAAATTTGTTGCTTGTGTCTACTTATCTAGATTCTCCAGCTTTATAATGCAATGTTGATGGATTCAAAATAAACTCTTTAATGTAGCTGCACTCCATCTTTAAGTTATTTCACCGACATGTTGGCAGTTTTCGTGAAAACTTCTGCAAGTTTGTCCTTTTATACAAGTTTTCTAGACTTACCTTCCAATTATTATTCCAACTTTTTGAAATGTTTTGCTTGTTCCCAACTTTAATTTCATAAGTTTGTATTAGATTGTTGAACATCTTTTTAAAAAATAAATGTTACAGCGGTTTCCAATATCTGTTTGTGAAGAGACGGTGCAAGAAAAGAACAATTTCCAAAATTACCTAATGGAGTCGTTTGTTTTCTGAATTGGAGTTAATTTTTGTCCGCCTACTCTCTTCCTGAGTCTGCTCGGGGATCAGGCGTAGGTGGTTTACCTTTGCTGAGTGCGGTGATTTCCTTTAATTGAGCTGAAACAAACAGAAATATAAAACTGAACTGCTGTAAAACTGATAGTGAGCGCCTTGTTCTGCAGTTACTGGAGTAACAACTACATTTCCATTGTCAGAAAACATGAGGCTTCCTCGTCAAGCTTTAAGTTGTTAAAAAACAGAGAATAATTTTTTTCTTTTCTCCTCAGTTTTTTAGGCTTTTTCGCATTCTTGTCCTGCACCTTTTTACCCACATTTGTTCTCTTACCTCTCAACACAAATGCAGTTTTCACGTCTTTATTTCCTCCGCTTTCCTTTCAGTCCCATCTTCTCCACATTCAGAGATGGTTACATTTCACCTTCACAGTCTGGGGAGAAAAAGCAGAAAAGACAAGGGAAGGAGAAAGATTAAAAGAAAAACAGAAAAATGGAGCGTAAAGTTCTCAATCTAACCTAAGGACGCGTTGGTGGTGAAATAAGTGAGTTTGTTGAGGAACAGTGGGAACTTTGCTGCCAGTCACTCAAACTGGCTGCAGTTCAGGAACAAACTGGAACTTCTCAGCGACTCACTGAGTGTCAAACCAAAAACAGCCAAACAAAAAGAAAACCGCGTCGACAACGGAGAGAAGACACAGCGAAGGTTTGTGCAGATAAAAGCTTCATCAGAAGAAGTAAAGGAGACCTAATATCTGGACTTTATATCGTTAGATATAACCTTCAAGACAAACGGTAATGAGGAATCAAAGTTTTCATTCTGACTTCAGTTTGGAAATGTTTGCAGCTGTTTTGGTCACTTTTTTCTTTGAAATCAACGCTTAAGTTCACTTACATTTGCAGATATTTATTTATTTTGTGTTCCCAAGAGCTCCCATCACAGCATTTCAATCAAGTTAATGTCTGGACTTTGACTAGGCCGTGGCAACACATTGATTGCTTTTGTTGCAGGGTTTCGGGTTGTTATCTTCGTGACCCAGTTTGGACTTAAGATGGACTCCCTGCAGAGTTGATTAATGTTTGATTCAGTGAGAATTACTGCAGAACAAGACCAGATCACCACCCTGCCACCACCGTGCTAAACAGCACATTCATGTTTTTTTCTTATCGATCCGTAACTCAACTAATGATTATTTTAGTAATCAATTATTCTGACAATTAACTGGATAAAAATATTGGCTCATTCTGCAGATTTTTCATATACCCACTTATGTAACTTTTAAAAGTATGTATATTTATTTTACATATTTGTTAAAGCTGTCCCCGGGTTGCGACAGTAAGACCCGCCTCCTGGCTCTGATTGGTTGGTTCTAGTTAGCACTGGGAGAAGACAGAGGAGCTAACAAAGTCTCATAACAAACTGTCATCGCCTGGTGACAGCTTTAACAAAAATGTAGAAAATATATTTTTTATAAAAGTTATTGCAGCTTGAAGTCTTTTTTCATGCAATACTAGAAATACATGAAAAAATGCAAATAAACAAAAATCTGAATTAATATTTAAACATTGTATTCCATGAAATGCAGCAGCAGCAGCAGCAGCAGCAGCAGCATTCCTTTAAGGATGCCGCTAAAATAATACTTCCAACATCAACATGTAAAAAGCTCAGTCTTTTCTGCTTCACTTAACATCAATACGCCGTAGGACTGATCTGTTGATTTATCTTTTTTATCTAATTAATACTTTGACAGCAACAGTTCCTCATTAACAGAGTTTTTGGCAGAATTTGAACCAGGTGAAGCTAAAACTAAAACACTTGAGAAGTTCTGACCAGAACTTATTAAATAATTGTCTTTTTTTATCTTATATGAAAAATGTGTAGATTTTCTGTACAGTTTTGGGTTAATCACTTCTCTTCAGTAAATAACGTTCTTTTGAGTCTGTATATAACATTTACTACATTAGCTGACAATTATTTCAATAATCATCACGATTAATCACTTCAGCCCTAAACTCTCTCTCTGTTCTCCAGTTTTGCTCTCTTGTTGTATTTACTGCCATCTTTGTGTGGAGGATTTTAGTGCATCGTCTCCTGGACTCCATGCTTAGCGCCACTTACTGGTCTGGAGGAGTAAAATAGCGTTTTGGGGCGTACTCTCTCTCTGTGTGTCCATGTGGATAAAAACATTTCTGGAAGTTTGTGTAGATGTGTTTTTAAAATCGATAACTGATTTTGAAAAAAAAAAAAAAAACCAAAAAAAAAAAAAAAACAAAATCTCTTTGTGTTTTTCTTTACACCCTTAAGATCCAGAGAACTACAAATGCTGCACTTATAATAGAAGTATATTCAACTAATAAAATACGTTTTTAATTATCTACTAATTTCCCTCCTAAATCCAGTAGCATAAGGGTGGCTTTAGTTTTTCCTGTGATCTTTCATTCCCGTGGCTGTGACTGATTTCTTAGCGACTCACACTTTTAGTTTTCTTCCTGTTTGACTCCATAGCAAAGGGAACAGATGGTCTAGGTGAGCCCAGAGGAGGTGAGAGGGCTCTGGGAGTGGAGGGGCTCCAGGCTCCAGCCCTCTTCACGCCTGCAGGTTAAGACGGGTTAAATTTAATCCTCTCCTCCTGTGATTCTGTCTGCGGGTAAAAACCTCGGCTCTTCCAATGCTCAGTTGGCGCAGAAAGCAACTCATGAACTTTTTAGTTTGGTTCCAAAAAGAGGAAAATAATCTATTTAGGACTTAATGTTCCCTGTTGAAACCAGTGTCTTTGATGGATTTCATGGTTGTATTTCCTCAGATGGGATGAAATGTCTGTCTGTGGAGAAGGACTTTCTTTATTAGACCTGAGCAGCTAAGTGCTGCGAAGGCCTATTGAAATGGTACTGTTTATTATTTTTTTTGTGTGTTTTTAGTAGATGCTTCATACTGGGGTAAAATAATTTAGCATCTTTATGTCAACAAGTCATTTAGATTCCTATTTTCTCCTGCAATCTAAATCTGGATGAAGATATAAATCTGAAATGCAGCCAGAGGCAGAAAAAACAAGTTTCATGCCCAACCTGAGACGGCCGACGATTCCTTCTGCAAGGTTTCCTTTTCAATCACGAGATCTGATCGGTTTAATAAACCTTTTATCTTCACAATCATCAGGTTTCTGTAGCTGCTGTCTGCATCTTAGCATGGTGACATTAGCATTGGTTTGAAGAGATGCTAACTATGAGGTGCTGTTTGTAAAGTTACACAGTAAAATATTAACAATAGTATTTTGGTTTGAGAAAAAAAGAAGATTCATTTTTCAAAGTCATATTTTCGCCATGTTATTCATACATTTATAAATGTCACATAGTTCCAAACTAAATATTTAATTCACTAGATAAATATTTCACTTGCAGATTAAATATTTAGTTGGGAATTTTGTTTGCCGGATCCAGAGCGAAATACTTAGCTAAATGTTTGAATTTAGTTTCAGTTTAGTTTGCTGAGACGTTTGTTTTCTGGACAAGCGTCTAGAAAACAAACAGAAATGCTGAAATACTGACTTATTTTAAATCGCCTCATTTGTTCAGAGCTGAAGTTTATTTATAATAACTAGAGCATAAATTAATTACAACTTTTCTGGTTTTGCCAAAGACAGGAGAAATCCTCCAACCGTTAAAATCTGATGCTACTCCATTTCTGTTTACATTTTATGAAGAAGGAAGTTGTGCTGAGCGTCTTCTTCAGGCGTTTTCATGTCGGCGCAGCGCCACCACAGGCGAGGAGGGGAACAGGCTCTTCAAAGGGTTTGGATCGCTTGACGCGGTGCAGTGTGAAAACAAAACACACCAGCTGAAAATGTACCAAATGTTTCAGCTTTCGTTCCCAGTCGAACAGAGTAAATACAGTCATAGTTGATAAAGAGCAAATGAGTCTTATTTGTTGTTGCCATGTCCTGTAATATCGCCTGTAACTCCGTGTGCAGTCATTTGGTTTTGTGTGATGCTTAACAAGCTGAGCTGATAACTTTCACACTCCCAGGCTCCTGGAATCAACTCAGATTTCATTGTGTGTGATATGTAATCCCTGGGTTTCCACTGTCTGTGTGAAAGTCTGAGTTTTCGATGGTTTTACTGTGTTTGCAGCCAGCAGGTTGGTTCAGTGCAACAAACCAGGTGTTTTGAATGTTTGTGACAGATGTTAGGACTCGGATTGAGCGCAGAATCTGGAGGAATTTGCCGTGTTTGTGGACAAATGCCATCCCCTGTCTGTGTTTGTAAAGCAATGTTCTGGCTCTCCTTTCCTCATCACCTGAGAGAGAGAAGAAGAAACTTGTGCAACATGTGCTGGAGCTCTTTTGCTCACGCTCCCACTTTGTCAAACAGTTTATTTTCAAACACACAGAGCTTCTTTTGGGAATGGATTTAGCCGACTTTCTGGCTTTTAACTTTTTCCTCTCTCTGTGTTTCCTCCCACCCATGGCTCTCCCAGACGCCCCGGTGGCAGAGCTACATGACCTGTTCTGCAAGAAGCTGCAGCAGTGCTGCGTGCTGTTTGACTTCCTGGACTGCGTGGCCGACCTGAAGGGGAAGGAGATCAAACGTGCGGCGCTTAACGAGCTGGTGGAGAGCGTGGCCACCAGTAGAGGAGTCCTCATCGAGCCTCTCTACCCAGAGGCCATAAAGATGGTAAGACTAGCAGGAAGGTCAAAGGTTGAATGAGTTGTGATGAATTTAGTAGTTTTATTTATTTATTTTATATATATATATATATTTATTAAACTTTTCAACATTTTTGTGTTTTGACAACACAGACAAAGCAAAACTTAAACATTTGGGTCATAAACATAATTATGCTCTGATGTTATTATCTCCATTTTTTTATGTATTTATTTCAATCAGGTTTTTAAAAACAAGAAAACAAGCAATCAGAGAAAACATGTGCATATATAACCAAGAACAAAATGATTTGTTTTCCACTGCTTTTCTCTTTGAAAAGGAGCAGAAAGAAGTGAACACTTGTTTATTAATCCCAGCCTTTATCTCAATTTTACTGACTCAATAATTATAAATTTAAAAAAATAAAACCATGTTCGAATAGTCATGTGCCTGTTCAATGTACTGGGTCTAAAGAGCCAAAAAATAAATTATATTACATAGACAAAATGGTTACAAACTAACTCATAATGAGACAATAAACTCTACGGATCATAATAATAACAATCATGACAACAACTGAACACAGAGGATTAGAATATTTGCCAACTCCCTGCCAATAAATTCTTCTTAATCTGTGTTATATAGCAATAAATAAATAAATGCAAAAACAGAGGAAGAGATAGAAAAACTAATGATAATAATGATGGTAAGATAACCATAATAAGATAGTTGTTGTAACTGTAACTGGAGTTGTTTCTTGACTTTAGTTACAGTGATGATAAACATTTTCATAGTTGTTTGGATGTTTCATACAGATCTGGAAAAACTAAGAGTCCACTGCACTGAATCCCGCTGAAAACCTCCAGATTTATCCACCAAATATTGATTTCTGAACTCTTCCTGAGTTAAAACATCAGTATTGTTGTTTCTAAATTAATATTAACTTGTTTTCTTTGCATTATTTGAGGTCTGAAAGCTCTGCATCTTTTTGTTATCTTGACCATTTCTCATTTTCAGCAAATAAAAACTAAATTTTCACTTGGAATTTCAGAAATATGTTGTCAATAGTTGCTAGAATAAAAGAACAATGTTCATTTTACTCAAACATAAACCTGTAAAGAGGGCTGCTGTCATGGCGCAGGGGTTAAACACAGCCCACATATGGCAGCCCCAGTCCTCGATGAGACCCTTTAGGGCTGCACAAGCAAGAAGGTTCTGGGTTCGATTCCCGGCCCCGGTCTTTCTGCATGGAGCTTGCATGTTCTCCCTGTGCATGCGTGGGTTTTCTCCAGGTACTCCAGTTTCCTCCCACAGTCCAAAGACATGACTGTCAGGTTAATTGGCCTCTCCAAATTGCCCCGAGGTGTGAGTGTGTATGTGCATGGTTGTCTGTCTCCATGTTGCCCTGCGACAGACTGGCGACCTGTCCAGGGTGACCCCGCCTCTCACCTGGAACGTTAGCTGGAGATGGGCACCAGCACCAGAAAATGGATGGATGGATAAACCTGTAAAGAGTAAAATCAGAGAAACTGATCATTCTAAGTGGTTTCTTAATTTTTTCCAGAGCTGCATTTTTTTAATTCAGTGTTCCCCTTAACTTGTCCCCTCCCTCCCTTATCCATAAATAGAAAAAGAAACAGCACTTAGTATCAGCATTGACTAGAACAAAACTATAATAACTGATAATATTACAATACAAAGGCTCTTGTAAGGAAATATTCAGTCCAACGTTTTCACTAAATCATCTTTATCATGCAGCCGACATGTTGGATAATTAAAAGGGACATAATTCAGGATAACATTCTGTCTTTGTGTCTTGGAGGAAATTTTTCCACTTATCCATTTAAGGAAGAGACATTTTCCTGCACATAAAGTTAACATTCTCTAAAGCTTGTAAAGGATGAGCAGCGCCACATATTCATGTTATTTTATGTTTTTTAAAATTATACTATAGATCCGTAACTCAACTAACGATTATTTTAGTAATTGATTATTCTTTTGATTATTCTGACAATTAATTGATTAATTGGATAAAAATATTGCAGATTTTTTTTATATATAACTACTTAAAGCTCCAATATGTAATTTTTAAAAAGTGTATATTTTTTACATATTTGCTAAAACTGTCTCCATGTCATGTTGGTATGTTGTGAGACAGATAACCTGTCAAAAGATGAATCTTATCCACCTCCTCAGCAGCCACACAGAGGGTGATTGACAGCACTAAGACCCGCCTCCTGGCTCTGATTGGCTGTTTCTAGTTAGCACTGGGAGAATGCAGAGGAGCTCATTTCTTTCAACAAATATGTAGACAAATGTTTATTTATAAAAGTTACTGCAGCTTTAAGAAGAAATTCCCAAATTTCAGGTCAATTAATGAACGCCAACATTCCCAAAACTACAATTTGCAGAGGTGCCAGAATATTAAACGATCAAGATGATGTGGAAATAGGTCAAAAGTGGATTGAGAACAAATTTAAAAAGATCTCCACGCACTAATCTAACCTGCATGGCATCAAAAAAAAAAAAAAAGAGCATCTGGATGAACTGATAAGAGTGAGAATGGAGAGGAGAGCAAGAGCTAACAAAGAGGGAAGCACAAGTCTGCACACATGATGACAAGTAGAGGGATGGAAGGGAGAGATAAAGTGGAGCGTGCTGCAGAGAGTGGACAGCAGAGATCCCAGAGGAGCAGGAAAAGCCTGCAGCACATATATAGCTGCTTATGGCATTCAGCAGCTCTACCCAGAGGTGTGAAAATGGGGTGGAAGGAAAGTGGAGGAACGATCCAATGTGCCGCTTTCTGCTTAAGAAAAGTCTCAATAATAGCAACGTGAAAAAAGAAATTGCTCTTTTGCAAAAGTTGCAGGGATGGGCAGCACCTTAGAATTTGGTGCAGTGCAACAAAACACAGAGTAACCTAAAAATATGCTTCTACTGTTTAGAAGATATTAGAGTCAAACCTGCTCCTCTGCATGAACTAATGAAGCCTCAGGGTTAAAATAAAAAACAGATTACATGATACTTTAAAAGAAAAAAACAATCAGATTAGAGATCAGATCATGCATAGTGGTGGAAGCAATCTCCAGAATATTACCTTCTTCAACAGCTAAATACCCAGAAAACCACATAAAGAGAAAATAATGCGATAAAAAACAGCCTCTTTTTAAACCAAACAGAGATTTAAACAGTGCCTTTAATGAGCAGTTAAAGCTGCCCGGTGCAGATGGATTTGCTGAATTAATGATGACTTAGTGAACAGTCGTTGCATGACTTATCAGTTCTTCCTTGAACACAGGCTGGCATCAGCATTAGAGATGACCAACACCGGCTGGAGTTGCTTGGAAACTGAAAACGGGGCTGAAGATAGATTTTTATTCTTACCTGCAATGCAACAGCTTCTTCGTCTGACAGAGCGTGTGCACTGCTGTCCATTCAGCCCATCTGTTCGGTCCAGAGTGACACCAAAAGATGAAATCTGGAGCATTTTTGTTCAATGATTTAATTAAATCAACATATTCCTGTAATTATCCAGGAGATAAATACCTTGATTTGCATAAAGTCATTGTTCAAATTAAGCTAATATGGTTTGAACTCTGTATTTCTGCAAATTAGGCAACAATTTGAAAACATTTGCTTCTTACCGCGAAGATGTCAACGTTTTCCTCCTTTGCAGCCTGGACCGTTTCTAGTCTAATGACTTTATCTCAATGTTTGTTCGATTAATATAATTCGATGTTTATTTTTTAATATAAAAGATGTAATAAATATACATCTTTATTACATTTAAATTACAGATGAAATTTAAATGTCGTCTGTAAAGATAAGCAGACGACATTTAAATTTTCCTGATGTGAGGTTGAACATGCAGCTTTGGAGCCCCTTGGTGGCTAAAAGCTGCATTTTTTCGGACGATAACAAAAGGCATCGGCGAGAAGAAACAATCGTTTCTGGCTTAAAGTCTTCACAAATATCACTCAACTGTTTGGAGCAACAGACCAAAATGCTATTAGATATGAATAAGTGATGAAAATCCAGGAGAGCTGCAGGAGAAGGTGTGGCTGTTTGGAGGGGATGAATGGAGAAAAGTCTGTTTTCAAAGTAAAATCACTGCAGATTATTCGAAATGGATCAGAATAAACTAAAAAATTGCATTTTGAAAGATGAGGTCATTGTAGGAATGTTTGACCATGATGGACATCAATAAACCCGATGTCTAAAAACAATAACATGTTCTATTTTATTATTGCTGGTTAGAATAAGATGTCCAAACTAATCAGATTCATAAAAACACTGCCCTGTATGTGAGAAATATAACTTTAAAGGAAAATTCAGGCACATTTTTAAAAATGTGCATGTATTCTGCACACCATGTATACAATATTTATTTATCTAATTAGGGTGTTTAATTTTGACAGACGACATCAAGTCTTTAAACCACCAAATATTTTAGTTTTCCCTGACAAATTCTCCTAAAATGCTAAATGCTAGGAAAGTCAGATTTCCTCATTTCTGCTTCGCCGATCTCATCCCTCCCATGTTTTCTTTTTTCCAGATCTCGGTAAACATCTTCCGCACACTTCCTCCCAGTGAGAATCCAGAGTTTGACCCTGAGGAAGATGAGCCGACTCTTGAAGCCTCATGGCCACATCTGCAGGTACGCCATGTTCTCGCTGCGGCATGAATTTTATTTACCTCAGTGCTAAAAACAAAGTATATCTGCAAAACATCCTGACTTTTTTCAGTTTACACCCATAGATTTTAGTGTTACAAACTAAAATTAGCAGCAGAGCATCAGGATATCCCTGCTGGATGTTGTCATTAAATGCACTTTATGTCAAATTGATTAATTGCCTGAGAACTGGATCCTCTGGAGCTGAAGGTTGAATTTAATCAGCCATAATTGAAAACCTAGGATTATATTTCAGATCAGAAACAGTCTCTTTATGTCCTTAGAAAGAAATTAGAGAATTTTAGGATGTTCCATATATTCTGTCATATTTTATCTTTTATAATCTGTTAACTTCTTATGAGAAAGAGATTCTGAAGACTGGACTCTCTGTCACAGATTAATATAAATAACTATAAAATGTATTTCTGGATTATGAGAAGCTCATTCATATTCCCTCTTCCCCAGCTGGTGTACGAGTTTTTCCTGAGATTCCTGGAAAGTCCGGACTTCCAGCCATCCATGGCTAAACGCTACATCGACCAGAAGTTTGTCCTGCAGGTAATCCCCTCCCATTCTCGTGTAACCCAGATTCACAGGATCCTGTTTCAGTGCCTCGCCAAAGTATTCACATCACTGGCATCATGTTACAACCACAAACTTCAAAGTGTTTTACTGGGATTTTGCAGATAATGCTAAATCTGTTTTATGAACCTTTAAGCCAGTTGTGGACACCGATGGCTAAAAGGTCAGCTACGCTAACCCTAAAGCACTAATCTAAACATTAGCTCTGCTTAATGCTAAAGCACTACACCAACACAATATATGATCAGAAGGTAAAGCGCTACATCAATACGGTATTTAGCAGAAGCTAATGCTAAGCTGCTACACAAACACAGTATATTAGCACAAGCTAGGGCTAAAGCGCTATATCAATGCAGTATATTAGTGGAAACTAGTGCTAAAGCGCTACACAAGTTTAATGTTTCTAATGTGACAAAGTTTTAAAAACTTTAAGGGTTGTAAATACTTTCACATAAATAAACACTTTAAAATATCCTAAAGACTTCTAAATGTTAGTATTTTAAGTCTTTAATCATTTAGTACAGTAACAGTTTTGCTGTTTGTCGTTGAAATCTCACAGTGCAGCAAAAAGCAATAAAACTCCTGAAGAGTCGCTGCTAGAGATAAGTGCAGGGCGTTTGTAGAATTATTGCAGTCGGTTAAGTTGCAACGCTGCATATTTTGTGGCTGTAATTACATTACGTGTGTTTGCAGCTCCTGGAGCTGTTCGACAGCGAGGACCCCAGGGAGAGGGAGTACCTGAAGACCATCCTGCACCGCGTCTATGGAAAATTACTGGGCCTCCGAGCGTACATCCGCAAACAGATCAACAACATCTTCCTCAAGTATGACCTGGACTTAAAAAAATGAAAATTAAGCCTCAGTTTGCATTAAAAATTATTATTTTACAAGAAATTGCAGCAGTTTCCTTATAATAAACAGACTAATGTTCTGAAAAAACTCTGAATAGTGTCAGCTTAATAATGCAGAGTTATTACAGAAAGGAAAAACTTGAAGGCTACTTTTAGTGTTGATGTTTCTAAGAATAGAAAACAAAGGCTGCAGTCGTCCCGTGTTTTATTAAAACGGAAACCGTTGGAACTGCTGACTAATCAGTAGGACGTTATGCATGAAACCTTCGTTTTCTCCTAAGAGTTAAATCCTTGTGACCAGAAAAAGAAAATCTTCCTAAAGTATGTAATAATAAATACACCTGTATCTGATTCTGTGAAGTTTTAACCCTGCAAACCCAGACATAGAAAAACACGAAAGAAAAACAAAACAGTTCGGCGTCTTCTGCGGCTTTTTAAAAGGTTTTATGAAAGTTTATTAACTGTAACATAAAAATATTTTGCATTTTGTACAAGTGTTGCATAAAAATTTTCTACTAAATAAAATTCCCAAACTGATCAATACGTTTGTGTCAAAAATCCATATCAAAATTCAACATTTGTACATTTTTTGGCTTGAAATTCGGGTAGAGTAGTATCAAAAAACTGGGTCTTGAAGGGTTAATATCATTAAATTAATCAAAGAAGCTTAAATTAAGTTAATTATTCATCCTCCTCATTATTGTTTGTAACAGTTTCTCTCCTTTTTTTAAAATATATTTAGGTTCATTTATGAAACTGAGCACTTCAACGGAGTGGCAGAGCTGCTGGAAATCCTGGGCAGGTTCGTACAAGCAGAAACACCCAAACATCCGATGAAACAGGAAAAAGCATCATCAATAAATAGATGTTTGTGTTCATGACTGAACTGCGAACATTTTAGTTTCAGCCACTGCGGCAGCTGTTCTTTAACTGATTATCTTCTGATATTTTACTGAGAAATTAATTTAAATAGGGACAGGAAGTGAGAGACATCCACAACGAAATGTTGTGAGTCATGTGGTTGTGTAACATCTTAAAATTGTCTCTAAGGAAACAAAATGAGCAAGACAGAGATGAAGCCAAACTGATAAACAAGTCGCATTTCCTCACACACACAAACCAATTAGAGATAGATGAATAAAGAGAGGGAGGAAGCTGAGGCAATAATAGGACCAAGGTGTTGCTATCTGGTTTGTTTTCTACCTTTGACCTTTCTGAAAAACACAAACAGCTGAATGCAGGGTTTGAGAGTTTAAGCACTTCAGAAAAGAACGATGGCTCTATATCTGAGCAAAGACAAATAAAAAAGAAAAGAAAACTAAAACTCCACTACATCTCAAAATAATTTGAGCCATTTGTGAAAACATGGTAATTGGTTAAAGGTGTAGTTTTGGGATTTTTTAAGTAAGCTGTTGTTAAAACCAGTTGATATTTTACCTGCAGTGAATTTCTCCCAATTTGGATCAATCTAGACCAGTTAATCCAGGAAGTTGAAATTAATAATTAGTTCTAAAACAAATTTCTACCATCACAAACAACTCTAATGTCAAAAACATTGTTTGAGGGAAAAATAAGTAATATTTAGATTGTATATTTTGCTCAATGCTTTTTGTCTTTAATTTTGTCATTCTCAGAAAGTGGGGTTAATATCACTGTAGGTTAACTTTATTGTGGAATTCAGTTTTTTTATTTTGAAAGGCCTACTTCCTGTTGAGTTGCCAAAGATTGCAGAAGAACAGATCAGTACAATTTTGACAATGTCTTCCATGTTTTGTCTGAAAGAAGGAAAATAAATAGTAATAAAAGATTTTGGATCTTAATTTTTTTGTTTTTACATTTTTTCTTGATAAATATTTTTTGTTAAATTCACAGATTTTCATGCGTCCCTTACTTTTCCAAGAATGACAGATACTGGATCTGTTATCATAACACTGAGAACTATGCAATAAATAACTTATGAGCCTTTTTAAACTATCATAATGTTTAAATCAGATGATGATTTATGTAGAAATATATGACAGAATTCCAGGCAGACTAAGGATCTAAAATAAAAGTAAAGCAATACAGAATGCTATTAACTCAGAACCAATACAATACCAATGTTAGTGTTGCAATATATTCCTATGAGGTTTTGATTGTTTTTCATACAGTATGTCTAAAATATTCGAAGCAACGTCAGAAGCTGCATTTTAATGCTATTTGACGCGCTATTGGCTGGCGTCTGAAAAGCAGCCAATCCAGAAGTGCCACTCATTTTACTTGGTGCTGATTGGCTGAAGCCAGAAGAGTGGAGAGCAGGAGGACCGTTGACGTTAGCTTCTGCGGTATTTGATATTCAAACTGGTAAAATAGACAGCTATAAGTGTTTTTTTGTTGTTGTTTTTTTTAGCGAAGGTCTTAAGAATTTGCAGATTTTAGCTTTTCACAGGCGGCTGTGGACGCTAACCCCGTAAATACCGGGAGTCAACTGTACAACTTCCTCTACAGGGCTTGTCTTGAAAAATCTTGACCCGTTCCTTTCAGATGAATCTCTAAATTAAATCTGAACCTGTTGGCTCGGCTCTTCCATTCTTCAACGTTAGACTGTTTGGCCTTGACTCTACAGCAGAAAGGTTAGCCGCTATTTATGACTACCCGATAAAACCGTAAAAAACGAAAACAATTTAGCTCTAATAAAAATGTTGTCCGCTTGCTTTTACTTTGACGCTAGGTAGTATAAATTTAAATAGAAAGCGAGCCAAAAACAATGTTAACCAGGACACTTATTGAGCTGTAAATATGAATGTACGAGTATGTAGATAGATTTATTCACGTTGCAAAAAAAATAAAAATAATCTTTTTAATAATATTTGTTCATTTTCCTGTAATTGACCATGTTAAAATTAAATTCGCAAGTATATTTATTGAGGTCAAAACCTCAAATACATCAAAACTGTTATACCAAACAAATTAAAAAACAAACTATTTACGAGCATTTAGACTGGTTATTAGGTTCACATTGCTTAATAGTTGGAAATAATTTTGAGCCTGTTTTCAAATACAGATCACAACCGCCCTTCCAGGCGATTATTCAGTGATCAGAAAACTGACCTTTAAATTGAATAGTGAGTTGTGAGGAGAGAAGGGAAGGAGGAAGACGAGGAAGAGTCCAAGGTGAGAGAAGAGGGATACTTGTAGAGGAGGATGAGTGAATGAGGAGTGAGTCAGAGGTGGGGGAAGAAGAAGAAGAAGAGCAGGAGAGAGAGGCTTGCATTCATGTTGTTGGTAACAGAGGTATTTATAGCTCCTCCCACACACAGACAGGGGGAGGAATCGGCGGGCGAGAGAGGAGGCAAAACAAAAGAAAGAGAGAGGAAGAAGACAGATAAGCATTCAGAAAAAAAAGATGAGAGGAGGGCAGAATTCACATGAGAGCGGCAGCAGCATGAAGCAGACTGAGACGCAGCCAGAGACGAAGTCCGACAGACAGGTAGACGAGCATAAATCATCTTTACAAACATCCAAACGCCTCGGAGGCTGTCACACTTTCCAAGTTTGGTTCCCACTCTCCTGCTGCTCAGAGCTGCACTTCAGTCAGAAACTACGACGCATCAACCCGACCAACAGGGATGTTGGCGAAGAATAACGCTGCAAAAACTAAATCTTAACAAGAATTTTTGGTCCAGTTTATAGCACAAATATCTTAGTACACTTCAAATAAGAGAAAACTAACCTACAAGTAACTTTTCAGAATGTAATAGGTCAATAATTCCCTAATATTGATGGAAAAGTAGCAGTTATGAGTGGAATAATATGCCAGTGGAACAAGACATGTTTCCCATCGTATAAGTAAAAATTATTTCACTTATAACTAGAACTTTTTCATCATTGACTTAAAGCAAGCCTTGCTGAAAATTAGTTTTGTCCTATTTCAAGTGTAGTAGGATATTTGCACAAGAATCTAGACTAAATATACTTGGTAAGAGTTTGTGTTTTTGCAGTGTAGGCAATGTTATATCAGTTTTTACATCGTCACTGCTGAGAATTACATCGTTAATCCATTAACAATGCAGCAGCCTTTCAGAGGTAATGGACTGAAAAATGCTGCAACACGAGATCATGGCTCATCCTCATAACAGGACTGTCACAAAAGCTACTTCAGATTATTTACAGTTGATTTACCTTTTTTTGTCGACTAAAAACCTGTAAGAGTCACAAAATTAAAAATTTAAAAAAGTAAATGGATGGTTGAACAGTTAAATACAGACTAAATTGCTTCTCAGTTAAGTAAAGACAAACAGCTAACATGATGTAGCTGTAAAAAATGACATTTTAATTCATTCGTCTATAAAACTTTTCAAACAGATGCCTATATGGCTGCCATTTAAAAATGAGGAAAGCTGTTAGAATAACTGCAGATGTTAGTAGTGATGCCACATTTTATCTTTAGTTTGTGTAGAAATTTGGTCTCTTGCTCCTAACTAAGCAAAACAAAAATCTTTCTAAATTGTTTCTGTGAAATTTGGAAATCAAAGTATGCCTTCATCAAATCAGTGTTGTTCCAATTATCTCAATCTTTCTTTGATATTCATCAAAGAAAGAAGAAACTGTCAAATATACCTTATTTCTTACCATGTGAACAGAAAATAATGAGAAAAAAATGAAGCGCACATAAGAGAAATATTAATTCTTGTTTTTTTGTGTGTGTGTTTCAGCATCATAAATGGCTTCGCGCTGCCGCTGAAAGCTGAACACAAGCAGTTCCTGGTGCGGGTCCTCATCCCGCTACATACAGCAAAATCCCTCTCCATCTTCCATGCACAGGTCAGTGATTAACCTCAGCACAACAACATCCAGCCGCCGGCTACACCTGCTTGTCCTTACAGCGGTCACTGAGGGGCGGGGTGCAACCTCAACCGGTCCCCAAACAACCACACACACAAAAACACAAGGACAATTCAGAGAGACCAATAACAGTCATCTGGAAAAGGTCCACACACGCGAGACACGCAGAACAAAGTGCTCAATTTGGGCTACAAACAAAGCAAACCAACACTGTGCATCACTCTGAACACACCATGCTAACATTTCAACACAGCGCTGGCAGCATCAACGATGAATAGAGGCAAACCTGGAAGAAAACCTGCTAGAAGAGTTAAATACTTATTTGCAAATGTTTCCTAAAACCACATTTTGCTTTATTTTGCTACTTTATGTTGTTCTATCCCAATAAAATACACTGGTTTGTAGTTGTGATTTTACAAAATATGAACAAACTGATCAGTATTTGCAGAGGCCAAGCCGATGCTTTAGGCCACCGAGGCAGAGCTGATGCGCTGTCAGCTGTATTAAAGTCAGAGCCGTCTTTCATCGTTGTGCAGGTCATCCGTTTATTTTCTCTGCCTCTCATCAGTGACCATTGAAGTCAAAAATCCTACTTTTTACAACGACTCCATCCACCTGTTGACAGCACCTGGTATTCAGCACGTCGACTCAAAGCACCGGCTTGGCCTCTGCAAAGTCAAAAAACTGTTTCACCAACAGTTGCCATCACCAAGAAAGGTTCCTATCATAAAGACCGCTGATGAACCCTGTGACCCATTCACTAATATGTTCATTCATAATCTGCTCCTACTCCTTTCTTGTAATAATCCAAGTGCTGCTTTACAAAACTCCAGAGGACATGTTGCAGTTATACACACAGCAATGAGCAACATCTAAAAACACCCAAATACCAGCGAAGGCTATAAACAAACAAAAGAGCAAAGTAAGAGAATCAGCCCGAACCTCTCCTGCAATGTGTCACGTTCTCCACTAGGAGGCAGGATTGCGCCGCAGACAATCGAGACGGCTCACCTTTTGGTGTGTGTGTTTGTGTTTAGGCAGTCATAATATTTGATGACACAGATGGCAGGCTGTCTGTTTGTGCGTTTTATTTGTGTCCCACATTATTTGCTGCTACAGAGGGTACAGTTTGTTCTGCACCGGCACGTCGGCGGCTCCTGTGTTTGTGCTTTCTGGGTCTCGGTGCCGCCGTGCCCTACATTCCTCCGCTCCCCCCGCGGTTCACACACATGCATTATTAACTCACTCACGCAAACAACTGGCTTTGATGGGGTCGGAAGGGGGGGAGGGGGGGCCACGGGAGCACGACTGACCCACTTCTGGGTGGAAATGTCAGAATATGACAACCCTGCAGAAAATTTAAATAACTTCACAGTTTTCTTAACTGTGTGGAGTATTTATATCCCTCTCTCGTGTGTCAGAGTTCAAAACAAAAGCTTGATAAACAACCTAAACTAAAAAAAAAGGAAAAAAAAACTATATGTTGAAAACCTTTACATATTTTTTCCTTTCTAACAGCCCAAATTAATTGTTTGCTAAGATAATAAAACAACAAATAAGTGTTACAATCCACACAAAAAAGCATTTGTCAGAATAAAAAATATATTTAAAGTTCAGCCTGTTGGGAATATTGTGCTGGGAAAGTAATTTCCCCCTCAGATTTCTTCTGGTTTTGCTTCTTTGTCGTATTAATAGTTTTAAGTCTTCAGACAATATGCATGTCCTGCAAAAATAAGCTGACTAAAAACAAACTGCAGTTTTCAAATGATTATTTCATTTATTAAAAAATAGCTGGAGTTCCAACACTTTTGCTTTGTTACCATTTCCAGACACATTGAAGAGTTTGTATGTTATCTATTACTGAATGTCTTCAGATCTGGACAGGGAGTTTTGGTTTTGGAGATCTTTTAACCTACTTCATGTTGTCGGACAGGTCCTGTTTTAGCTATTTCTATGGGGTGCGTATCAACATGGCTGAATTTAGAGCGTTAGCATTAGCTTCTAGCATTAGTGTAGCTGAAGTTATGACTAGTGCTTCAGGGTTAACGTAACTAACTGTTTAGCTAGCGGTGCTTTTATAATTTAAAACCTTTGTTTTTAAACTCCTTTTTTAATTTACTCTGTGTGTTTTTTCTGATGTGAAATTTGCTTATCTAAAACATTAAAGTGTGAAAAAAGAAGAAATGCTTTTTCATAACCCCGCACCTTACAGAACTTTGAGCCACGCTTGCCTCCTTCTTCTTAGACACGGATTCTTTAGAAGTCAACACCGGATCGTTTCAGAAATATTTCTACTGTATGCGAGCTTAGTATGGGTGGAATCCTCACTTTAGCACCTGTAAAAGACTGAAAGGTCATAATCCGTAGACAAACAATGACTCCTGCCCCCACCAAGCCCAACCTGACAACAGACTCCAACATATTTACCCCAACCAGCTCCTCTAATGCCTCTCTAATGCTTGTAATAGTTTCACCTCTCAGCAGCAGGATTTGGTTTCATCTTTTTCTTTCTGCTTTTCTTTGTGCTTAAGCTTAACATGTCTGTTTCCACACGAGTCTTTTTATATCCCTCTCCGTCCTTAACTGTACCTCTGTGAGGAAGAGGAAGAACATCGTCTCAACCTGACACCACAAACTCAGTCTGCAGTAATCACAACCCAAATGTAACCCAAACAAACAAAAAGAAAAAAAAGGTTTGATTGAACCTGCAACACAATAAGGAGGAGAGAGAATGGAGATCTAAACTCTGTCTAACATTTGGCCTGAAGGGACTTTATGTGTGTGACATCACTCGTTCCGAAATAAACACGCGCCCACTCACCACAGCAACCGGCCTGGGTGGAGGGGGCAACCGCAAAACACACACACACACACACACACACACACACTGAATAATAGAGACTGGCCTCTGCGTAAGTGAGTGCAGACGAGAGCTGATGTAGTCCCACTCACTCAAACAGGGTCGGAAAACCCGTCGTTCCGACCTTCAGCGGTTCCTGAGGGATAAGAGCCTCGTCTCTCTGACGGCTGTAGGAGAATTTTCTCTCCAGTATTATGTGCACATATATGTCCAAACAAAAAGGCCACAATATTATTTGTGCATCTTTACGTGAGTGAACAAAATAATACTGCAAAAACACAAAATCTTGCCAAGTATTTTTGTTTTGGCCTAATCTCCAATGCAAATCTCTTAGAAAACTTGAAATACGTAGTTCCCACAAGTCTGGATTGGAAGTGATCCACTCCCCTGAACCGCCATCTTGGTAGGCAAGCGCAGCGGAAAGCATAGACGAACCATGGCTTCGAGACCAACAAAATGAAAGTGGGAACTGTAATCGAATAATAGTTGTAATAGATGAAGACGAGCTGTAGGATGATGCCTCTCATCCCCTCTCCTGCACGGTGGACAGCCTGAGAAGATGCAGATTACTGCATCCTAGATATGCTGAGGAACGCTACAGCAAGGCCTGAGTCTATCAGACTTTATAACACACAGAGTCTCCAGAGCTGTGCGTTTTAAATGTTGAATATATATTTAACAATATACAGAGCGACGTGTGTGTGTCCTTAAGGCTTTCACTGCTAATTGTTATTTAATGTATGTTTATTATTATTTCTACTTTATTTATTATGATGAAGTATGATTACCTTATCTTATCATCTACTTTACATTGTTTATAAATTAGATAGGAACGAGGCGAGAGCTTGTTCTAAGCTTGTGGCTTCTTTACTGTTGTCATAGCAACTCCGTAGCAACCGTCATGACAGTTGGTCAGGGATGTATCAACATGGCTGTCAGTTACAAACCTTGCAAGTGTGACATCACATGAGAACTATGTGTAATCCTGAGAAAATAAACACTTTTCAGTGCGTACTAAGAGATTCCCATCAGTTTTGCAAATTTGCATCAACAACCCTGATGAACCACAAAGAACTGGGGCCTAGCACCAAAGCTTGTGGGACTCCACATGACACATTTTTCATTATTTATTTGGAAAGACTGAAAACTTCATCAGAATCATCACCAAAATGAATCTTCCTTATTTCTCATCAGTAATCTATGACCTGATATATTATCTGTTCTTTATTTCAAACCGGAGTGCTTCTGTCGTTGCAGCTAGCGTACTGTGTGGTGCAGTTCATGGAGAAAGACGCTACAGTGACTGAATACGTAAGACAACAACTCAATAAACACAAATACAGTGTTTAAGTCAGAGTGAGACATTAGAAAAGTGTAACGCGTTTGGAAAACAAGATATTTTAGCCCTTGTGGGGCCTAAAATTTAGTCATGTGATCACATTATTCCCTACTCTCAGGAACATTATTGATAATAAAATGTATCTCTTAATGTGTGTGCCTTCATACCAACTAAAATGAATGTCTGGAAAGCTAAATTATTAACTTTTAAAGATACATATATCTAATTTGAGTGTTATACATGCAGATGTATCATTTGCACTGTTTTTGTTCTGCAGATCATCAGGGGGTTGCTCAAGTACTGGCCCAAAACCTGCACCCAGAAAGAGGTAAAGAAAACACCTGCTGATTTATCTTTCTTCCTCCTCCTCCTCCTATGTCATAAAATAAAAACGTATCTGTGATTTTAGGTGATGTTCCTGGGGGAGATTGAGGAGATACTGGACGTGATAGAGCCGTCGCAGTTCATCCGGATCCAGGAGCCTCTCTTTAAGCAGATAGCAGCCTGTATCTCCAGCCCTCACTTTCAGGTGATGAACGAGCAGCAAACAAAATAAAACACCCACAGAAATCACACTCACACAGCAAAAAAAAAAAAGTTTCTGGGGAGCTTAGCAAGCTACAGTAATCGTACGATCTAGAGATAAGACTCTGCTGCTCTGTGTGTTTCAGGTAGCGGAGCGCGCTCTTTACTTCTGGAACAACGAGTACATCCTCAGCCTGATAGAGGAGAACTGTCAAGTCATCCTGCCGCTGGTGTTCGCCACGCTCTACAGAGTCTCCAAGGAGCACTGGAACCAGTACGGCCACACAGACGCACCTTCATCTATGGAGTTCTGCTTAGATTAAACGAGACATGTCAACGTCAAATCTGTTGTCAAATATAAAGGGTATATTACAAAAGAGAGTAAGGTCACTAAAAAAAATAACTTTCCTTTTCTGGAATTCTGATAAAAAGACAAAATTTAAAAAATTCTAACATTGTTTTAATCTCAGAATTTTAACTTTAATGTCAGATTTAAAAAAAAATTCTGATTTTCTTTTCAGAATTTTTAGTTTTTTTTTTTTTCAGAATTCTTGTGAAGTCTAATACCAGAATTTTTACTTTAAACTCAGAATTTAGATATTTTTCTCAGTTAAGCAAAAAACAATTGTGACTTTTTCAACATTCTGAGAAAAAAGTTTGAATTTTATTTTTATTCTCATTTATTGGTGCAAACTCTATTCACATCTATCGATGCAAATAGAAGAAAATAGAGAAGGAGTATATTTCCACCAGAAATTTTGAGATTGATCTCAGAAATTTTCTAGAAAACATCTTAAAAGGTAAAAAAAAAAAAAAAAAAATCGGCAGAAATTTACTCCATATTATTTCTATCTATAATGTTCAAAATACACCATTGTAGAATTGTGACTCAAATGTTAGAATTCAGATTATTTTTTTCTTAATCTCAAAAATTTGACTTCCCCAAATTCTTAGTTTTTTTTTTTTAGAAATATAAAAATGTTGATAATTGATTTTTTTTCCAGTGACCCTAATCTAGGTAAAGAATGATTTTAGTAAGAATAAATAAACTTTAAGTTGACCAACATGCTAAATACCCTCAAACTTTGATTTTTAGTTCAAAATACAATTTCATCAAAACCAGACAATTTGTAACACTAAAAAAATCTGTGGCTACTGAACTCAATCTGTTAGTAATTTACATATTAGAGGAGGTTATTTATCAAATTAAACAGCATATTCATCCTTTGTGAGTTGTGAGTGTTGATAAGTAACTTCTGTGTCATGTAAGTTCAGTTCACACAGAATAAAAGTGAATTAGTGAACTATTAAAAATTAAGAGTGAAACTTACTGCTGCTGAGAGATGAACTGATCACATTCATTCATCATATTTTTATGCTGCAAAAGTTATTAAATGTTGGTGGGGAGTATCAATCAGTCTCTATTTGCATTTTAATCCCAACATTTTGATTAATCCAGATTTGTCCATTTTGTCCTAAAACGTGAATATTTTCAAAGTGTTCCTGTTCTCTTCCAGAACCATCGTGTCTCTGATCTACAACGTGCTGAAGACCTTCATGGAGATGAACAGCAAACTGTTTGATGACCTCACTGCCTCCTACAAAGTGGAGAAACAGAAGTGAGTATGACTCACCGTCGTGTTGTGTTCAGGGACAGAACGAAACAGGAGTCATTTTTAAATCAGCTCTTGTTCCATTATCTGTCCAGTGAGACAGTAATCCAGAGGTTAGTGTGGTTAATGTCAGCCGGCAACAAAATCCTGATCCTTTTGTTTATTAGTTTCAAACTGGAGATAAGAATCAGTTCAGGGGAATAACTAAGTCACTTTTATTGCTAGGAGGAGGAACTAGTTCTTCTCCAACTTTGAAGGAAGGGTGAAGCAGCGCTTCCAAAGAAGCTCACAAATTAATTTTATTTCCACAACAACTGATTAAAAATTCCCAACTTTTACATGTTCGACTTTCCTGGTTAATAATTTTAAAATATTAAAGATTACTTAGATTTTATGGCAGATATTTCTACTAAGGTCAGAAGTTTAAATAGAGAAATCATAAGGAAGGAAGGGAGTGAGGAAGGGAGGGAGGGAAGGACGGAAAGAAGGAAGGAAGGAAGAAGGAAAGGAAGGAAGGAAGGAAGGAAGGAAGGAAGGAAGGAAGGAAGGAAGGAAGGAAGGAAGGAAGGAAGGAAGATGGGAGCAAAGAAGGAAGCAGGAAAAGAAGGAAAAAGAGAAGGAAGGAAGAAAAGAACGGAAGGAAAAAATGGCAGTGGGACACAAGGAAGGAAGAAAAGAAAAAAGGAAGAAAGGACGGAAGGAAGCAAAGAAGGAAGGATGGAGGGAAGGAAGGAAGAAATGGCAGTAGGATACAAGGAAGGAAGGAAAGACAGAATGAAAGAGAGGGAAGGAGGGAACAAGAGAAGGACGGAAGGAAAGAAGAAAAGAATGAAGGAAGAAATGGCATTAGCACACAATAAGGGAAAGAAAGGAGGGAGAAAAGAAGGAAGGACACAAGGAAGAAAGAAATGGAAAAAGGAGCGGGATGAAGGATTATTTTTCTGCAGTTTTTTTAGTGAATTGGCTTTAAAAGACTTTACTGACTTGTGTAACTCTACAGTAGTAATTCATGGCTCTTCAATGAGTTTTCCTAAATAAAATCCTTCTCTTCTCTCCTAACCATGTTGGTTTCTGTCTCTGCGCCCGGCCAGGGAGATGAAGCGGGAGCGGGAGCGTGCCGACCTCTGGCGAGGCCTGGAGGAGTACCAGGAGCGGCGCATGCAGATGCTAACGGAGGCCGCCAGGAACCAGCGCAACCTCCAGGAGCGGGGCGAGAGAGGAGACCCGCTGAGCCCCTCGTCCCCGCAGACGGCCCAGTCCGACCAGCCTGAGCCCAAACCCAGCGGCGCCTCCACCGGAGCCGGGGAGAGCGCCACCTAGGCGCCGCTGCACACAGGAGGGGGAATACTGGGGAAAGGGTGGTGGGACTTGAGGTTGGTGGTGAAAGTGTTGGGAGACAGAAAAGGTATAAAATCCGTTGTTTTTATCTTGTATCATGGAGGTGGCAGCTTCTTGTACAAAGGTGCGATCTCTGTGATGCCTTGTTTCCGACAGCGTTGTGTGAAACTGGTTCACTTTTAGCTGTACATGTTGCAGATCATAACTCCAAACAGGTGCAGACTGTCACGTTATTTAATATCCCGTTCAGTAAACTTGCAAAACTAGAGACAGAAAAAAAAGCGTCTCTTTTGGTGTCCAACTTGTCTCGACATTCGACCAACAGAGTCCGTACCGTGGCCTCATCTTTACCTTTTTAGCTGAAAGATGCTAACTCCTCGCGTGCATAGCACAAAAACAGGCGAAGCAATTTCACACAAATGTCAAAAGCGATCGCTGCACACAGGCAACCCACAAACATGTATGTATCTGCTGTAAATATCAGAGGAAGGAGCTGTGGAGACGAATCTCACACAAACAAAACACCTGCACACACACAGATTTACTCAGACACAAACAGCCAGGTGTGGCGCTGACTCCTCCCACTCCTCTGGGCGCCACCGACGGAACACCTTAATGACGAAGGTGATGACTCTGGTATAAAGTACAATATTGTTCCTTCTTCTTACTTGTTACTCTACTACTACTACTCTACTCTAACTACTACTGATGATGATGTTTTTATATATATATAAATATATATAGATATACATACGTCTGGATATTTCTGTAGTGTATTATGGGAGAAACACTAGTGTAGCAGAAACCATAAAAAGGGGAAGGCCGACTGGAAATCCTAATTTTTACGCAGTGTGAGGCCATAATGTGAGTGCTGAAATTCAGCAGAATACCCCTTTAACAGACCTTAACAAGGGGGAATGAACTGGACAGGCAGCAGCTGTTTTTCTTTTACTTTGAAATGAATGTTTGACATTGGTGACGTGCTGCAAGCATCATAGACGACATTTGGATTTTATTACAAACATACATATATACGGGAAAAACTAAGCACATTCTTGCTCTTTTTCTATAATTGAAGAGAAAAAGTAGCAGCAAAATAATGCAAAAAAAATACACTTACTGAATTAATCATTAGGAAGTGTGGGCATTTCTATAAGGCAGGAGTTTAATCAGCTTTTAGGGTGTTCATTAACACAACGCCAAATCGGAAAGAGATCAGCATTGACCTTAGAGAAGCTAACGTGTTGCAATCCTTTCCCTACGGAAGCACTTAACTGCCAGAACTTGGAGAGAAATTTAGGAGCGATATCTAGTTAAAACGAGAATTTTTTGTGATTAAAACAAGAAGTTTTATTTCTTGTTATAAGGATATGTAAACTGTGTTAATATGAGAAAATGTCTTGTTAAAACAAGAAAGCTTTGTCGTTATAACAAGATGCAAAACTTGTTAAAACAAGAAATGTTTGTCAATAAGACGCAAAAATGTTAAAATGAGAAAGTTACTTGCTATAATGAGATGAGTTTTATATCTTGGTAAAAGGAAATGTAAAACTTGTTAAAAGGAGAAAGTTTCTCACATGTAAAAATGCTTATCTGACAGACTGCGTCTCGTTAAAAAGGCGTAAAGTGGCTCACTGCGACTCTCCTTCTCACCCTTTTTCCTCTAGATGACTTCTAAAAATCTCAAGATATGTTGCTGTTTACTGTCACAACCTTTTTTACTTAAATGAGAAGATATTTTGGTTTTAATAATATATAAATCTTGTTATAACAAGATCTCTATCTTGTTATAACAAAAATGTTTTCTTGATTTAACAAGATGCTGCTCCTGAATTTATTTCCAAGTTCTGGCAGTTAAAAATTTCCGTACTCCTCAACAAAACAAAGCTAAACAAAATGTGTATGGAAAGAATGACGAGCTCATAATTTAGGCTTCAATGGAGTTTTATCGGTTTGCTCATCTTAAGTGTGCATGTGTTTAACATCATGCCAAGTCCGTAAACCAACAGAAATGACCTTGGAGAAGCTAAATTACAGCAGTTCCCCAGTTTTTTCGTCCTAAAGGGACGATCCAAAAATCCAAAAGACAGTTCTTAAAATCATCCACAAAGTGCAACATATTTATGTTAATTTAAATACTACTTGCTTTAAGAAGTTTGATTTTCCTAGACAATGTAATAATTCTCTTAATTCAGTGGAATTGTATTGGACTCAGGGGACTGTAAGATATTTACGCTGTTGATGCGCCCTCTGAAAGACCTATCAAATGTGATTAAATCGTTTTTATCTTCATTCCGTTTATGCCATATATTATTTTTATGATTACAATGAAATACAAAAAGAAAGAAAAAACAGAGATAAAAATTCCCCACAGCTGGAAGTATTTCTTTTAGCACATGTGCAAAACATACATACAGATCATGCAGCTACATGCATGTTAGCTAGCTGCCATCTTCTTCACCCCATCCTGAATGAAATGCAGCCGTCTCTCTACTGCCACCAGCTGGTAAAGTGGTGGAAATGCAGCTTCAGCCCAACTTACTAATAAAACAGTTTGCTGCTCTGCTCTAATTACGATGAACTCACGATGAGAACAATAGTTGTATTAATGCAGTAGTTTGGTTAATCGGATCTATAACATAATAGGTGAATAAATGAAGCACACCACTGCGGTTTCAAACTAAAAGAAAAAAAGAAGTGCTGCAGTCCGGTTGGATTTCCGAACCCGGAACGTCTGTAAGTCCGGCCGACCTGAAGCTGCTAGAAGGTGACCGTGGAGATGAAAACTTTTTTCATTGTGAATCAACAGAATCATTGTTCATTCTTGTCTGATCATTAAAATAGAGTAGTGGGATGAAGAGAGGGGAGAAAAACAGAAAAAAGTTATTTTAGCAATATTTTCATTCTTTCAGGATAATCTGTGTGTTTGTAGGGAGTCAGACAGGATAAAAGAAACTCTTGTTTTATCTCCTGCTGCGTCCGTGATATTCACATTGTCTTAAGGTACATTATTTGTAAATTTGACAAGAAATGATTTTGCTTTGTTGTTCATGTTGTTCATTTTATTGTCTTTTTGTATGACTTTGTTCATTTTGTGGGGGAAAAAAAAATCAATTCTGATGCTATTTATTTTCTATTTGATCAGGAAATGTAACCTTATTTGGAGGTGATGTTCAGGTTGTGGATGCGTATGTGTGTGTGTGTCTGTGAGTGAGTGAGAGAATCGGTGAGCAGAAGACGAGCGTAGAAAGAGTGACAAGAGATTGAGAGGAAGAAGCAGTTTTCTGTTTGTTTCGTTTTCTCTCTCCTCTCCTTTTTGAAGGGATTGGGGGTTTGATTCTCGAATGTACCGCACGATGTAAGTGATTGTTTCTTTTTTTTTAAATGCTAAAAACGCAGAGCTACCTGTCAGCTGCTTTGTGGCAAACCTTCAGAAACTCTTACAAACACACACCAGATCAAGCCTGAATCAACAAAGTTGTGAAATTCATACACCTTTAGGAGTAAAGTTTCCACTTCCATTGGGTGAAGAAGGATTTTAAATACTTATTTTATTAACATCACGCTCAGCTCGGCCTGTTTATATTATTCCAGTTCATTGCAAATATCATCCTGGTCACTCAGCCTTTTAAACATTTTGTACCATTGCAGTTCTGGTCGTTTCATACCGTATTTTGTAAATCATAACATGGTGGCATCTACCACAGAACATTTTGTTTCAAACAGTTTTTTCTAAAGTCTTTGACATCCAACTATTTACAAAAACTCTCCATGTTCTGCTGAGTCGGCTGTAAGGTGTTTTTGTGACTCTAATCAGCGGGTCAGTTGGGGATCAGAACCAAAATATATGGAAACAGGGTGTAACAAAATGCTGTCAGATCACATTAAACAATTAAATGGAATTACATTTGATATTTCAATATTTTTATGACAGTTTATCTCAAAAGGTCATGAAAATACAACAATCAAACAAACTGATGGCTTAACCTGCAGCTACCTGAATTTATTTGCAAGCATATACATATTTTTTTGTTTGTTTTTGTGTCAAACTAATCCTTGATTAAGCTGAGATTTATCATTAGAATATAGTGCATACAGGATAAATATAAATATGGGCAATTGCATGCAAATTTTTCCAAATTAGGCCTAATTTGGCATAACTCACCAGTAGGTGGCAGCAAAGATGATTCAAATCTGATATTTAAAATGTTTTGAGTTTTAATCAACAGACACCTTTGGTATACATACGCCACCCTAGCTGTGTGGTGGTTTGAGGTTTATTGGAAACAATATAGGGTGAAGTAAAAAGCTACAAAATAGTTTCTTTAAAGGGAAGAAATGAGGAAGAATGGCATGAACTGGTAATACTTTGGGAGGAAATGGGGATGCAAATTGGTGAATGGGGTGATTTGATTAGATTAATTTCATCCTAAAGAGTTGAAATAAATCTAATTACATTCAATGAAATTCGTCAGGTTACATATATTAGTGGTTAGTTGCAATTTAAAATACAAAAACAGTTGTTTTACTATCCAGCGTAGTTAAGCACTTGCCTTGAACACATAGTCAACAACAGAGATCTGGAAATGTTCCTAAACTCAGATTTAGATGCAATAAACTCATAACTCAAACAGCAAATAGTCAATTTACTGAGTTGCACAACTAACAGTTTTCTGGGTAGAGTTGTAGCAGGGTTTTTTAAAACTCGATAACCTCTCCATCTATCGAGTCAGAGCATAAAAAAATATAAAATAAAGCATGAAACACCTTTTTTTTACGTGAAGACGCACCATAGCACCTCTTGTTTCTCAGTTGAGTTTCATGTTTTGTCAATTTCAGTTTTCAGTAAGAAACTCCAGCTTTGTTGACCTTACCTCACAGAATGATCCACCGTTAAGATGCTGACAGCTGATGCAACTCTACAGAACCCCACTTCAAAATAAAACCAGAATTATTATCCCTCTAAGATTCTGATTGAGGTGAAACATCAAGAAAAAACAAATAAATACCTGAACATGAGCAACAGACATTTAATTATCTGAGTCAAAACAACGATTACATAAAAAATTAATCAAATGTTGACCTAAATATTATTATCTTGATTCCTACAAAGCTTTAATATTAGGCAGGAAAATTTATTTTTTTAAAAAGTACATTGAAGAGCTCAACACTTAGTTATATCATGAACTTATAACAGAATCTGGGAAAGCTTGCATAGCAGTTTTAGGTCAAATGTTAATCAATGCTGTTGCTGTTATAGTAAAACTGTTAAAAAAAACTTTTCCTCTAATCTGGAAACATTCAGATGGATTTCAAACTTTGTCTTGATTCAGGAAAGCAACTATTAAAAAACACAACTGATATAAGCCAAGACAAAAGTCTCACCTTTCAGGCATAAACTTTCTTACTTTTTTTTTTTTTTGGTTGACATTTTTATTCTATTTTTTTTATAGTGTTTTTGCTTGAAAACTATACAAAAACCACACACACACACACACACACACACACACACACACATAAACATTTGCTTGTTTCTGTCTCCAGGAAAACAAAACCCCAGCTCTCACTGCTCTCAGATTTTCTGAGTATTTGATAAATTCACCTTAATCCAGCCCTAATCCAAGACTAAAAGTGAGAGAGGAGAGGGGAGTGTTTTCAGAGCGCACCCAACAGACAGACATGTTATGTTGATTTCACTGACTGTCATGTTTCTATATTTTGGCCATGTTTATTGAGCCAAATTACATTAAAGAAAATGCTTTAAATCAGAGGGGTGACGCTATGGGACTGAATGACAACAGGCAGTGACGATTAAGCAAAAGGAGGAGAGACGGAAAGAGTTTATACATGAAAGCATGGCAATAAGTCAGAGCAACAGAACGAGAATATAATGTTAATAAAAACTACAACTGCGTTACGTAGCAATTTCACAGAACGTCTAGATTTGCACTGTCTGCCCAATGATCTGTGTTTGTTTTGTTGATGATAAAAACAATAGAGAGGATGATAGAGAGGTTGGAAAAGATGTATATTTTGGGGACCAACACATCAGTGGGAGGGAGGGGGGTTTGAATGTAGAGAAGCTTACTACTGTACGTAATAACATAACAACAGGGGGTGTAGACTGGAGGAAAAAAAAACATCTATGTGCTAAAAAACAAAATGAAATTTCACTTTGAGAAAACATTCTGGGAGTCTGTGTTGTTTTTTATGTCATCACTTTGATCTCCGTCAATGCTATGAGAAAAATTCTTTAAATATTGCAATTTAGAAAGGTTATAAAATATGTTCGTGTGCTTTATTTGAATTTTTTTTACTTCATATATTTGTGAAAATTCAACTATTTCTAAAGTAGAGAACATCAGTGCAATCATTGTAGATTTTTTCTTCTGCTCCAAAGGTAAAATTTATTACGGCGCATTAGGGCCAGACTAAGATTGTTTTTAATATTAGTAGAAAGACATGATTTTACCAGAAGAAAGTTGTGAAATTACTAGAAAAAAGTGATCAAGATCTGACCTGATCAGTTTCTCGATTCTTTCTTCAAAATAAATTTAATAGTTTGCACAACTGTTTCAAAGTCCTGCTATTGATAATAATTTCATATTGATGTGTTAAAAAATTAAGTATGTCCTATTTATAAAACTGACACTAAAGTATAACTTAACAAGATGCTCAACATTCCTCATTTTATTTTATTTTTAAATAATTTATGTTACCATAAAATTACTATTTTCTTGTGACTTTTCATGTAATATGAATTTATTTTCCTAAGATTTCAACATTTTTCACATTTTTATTATTTTATTCTTATAACATCATGAATTTATGATGTTATAAATTCATGTACAATATTGTTGTATTATTTCTCACACTATTATGACTTTTTCTGGTAACATTCTAATTTTACTGTCATAATTTAAAAAAATTGTTAGCATGGCCCTTATACTCCTTTGTAAAACGAAGAAAAAAAAAACATTTCCAGCAGTAAACTAAAATGTTCAAGGTCCCTGAGTTAGATTCACTCTTAGTCCACATTATTTAAGTTAAAACATTAAAAACAGAGTTTAAATATAAACTATCAGCTTTTTCAAAAATAGTAGCTTGTATATGTGTGTGTTACATTATGTTGTGTGGTTAGGAAGAATTATAATTTTGTAACATAAAGTGTTTGCTAGTGCGTGGGCACACACACACACACACAGTCATGTTTTCATCACTTGTGGTGACTTCACATTGACTTCCATTAATTTCTACAGCCTAACCCTTACCTTAATCCTAACCCTAACCATCACATACCTAACACTTACCTTAACCTTTACCCTAAACCTAACCATCACAGACCTAACCACTAACCCAAAAACAGCAATTTCCCTCATGGGGACCAAGAAAATGTCCCCACAAGGGGCAACGGTCCCCATAACCCCACATTGTAGACAGAAATAGGTTCTCAAAAGGATATAAAAACCTGACACACACACACACACACACACACAGAACTACCAAATCGAACATGGTAAAAACCCGTTTGAGTATCTCTTTCTTGAAATTAACAACTTTTGGCTTCTTTCAGCTTTATGAAGCTCCCTGGGATTTTTAAACATCTTTCCACTGAACTCTACTGTCATTAATTGGATGCCAAACGTCCACAGTGGTGTCATGTCTGATTTGGTGCTGTTCTCTAACGTTCTGCAGGCCCAGTCTGATGAGGTCATACTAACTAAGTCTGAACTGCTGCAGGCGCGGTAACAGACACACGTAAAGCACCACTGAGTTTATTTGATGTCTGATTCACTGAGGAACCAAACATCCATCATATCCTTACAGGGGCTGCTGGTGCCCATCTCCAGCAAACACTGGGCAATTCAGAGCAATACAGAAACACATAACAAACCATAAATAAACGCATAAATATGGATAAGCTGGATTCGAAACCAAATAGATGAATGAATAAATTAACTGAACCGTATTCAAATACGATTTTACCTATAACAATGAGCAGAAGTAACCTTGTTTTTGTCAGTGTCAGGGCTAAATTAACAGGAAAAAATGTATTAATGTAAAATATTTACTCTAACTGGCTATTATTACAAACTGTTTAAACAACTGGGTAGTGTGTTTTAAGGTTAGTGCTCAATATGCATTTTCACAGGGAAGATCATTTTATTGAGTATACTTGAGGAAAAACGTAATGTTTGTTGTGTAATGGTGAGTCAGGAGTTGGAAAAGCGAGCATTTATTTGATTGACGGTGTTCCTCACACAGTTTTCTATGATCCTATTTCTTGGACGATAGTGAAAATGTATTGTTTCAAACCAACTTCTAATCTATAGAAACTTTTTTATACTCAGTAACATTCAGCATTTCTCTGATTTGAACAGTTTAAAGTCCCAGTTATAACAAACTGTGTGTATGTATTTGTTATGGAGGGTCAGTTCTGCCACTCCTCCACTCAGAGCACACTGAGCCAGAAGTGCGTGCGCGCGCACACACACACACACACACACACACACACACACACACACACACACACACACACACACATATGCACTCAAAGACGGATGCAGACTGAGGTTAAGAAAATATAGACAAGCACGAGTATTTTCCAGGAACTCTATTATTTCTGACTTGGGGTATCTAATGGTATTTCATTGAATTGCTATGATGTCAGAGTGTCCGTCCACCCTAATGGCCTTCTAACAACAACAGGGACAGATTGGTTCCATTCACCGGACTGTCCAGACTGAGAGACACAAGCAGCTGAAACCTCAACAAGTTCTCAGCTTAAAAGGTGAGGTTTCTTTATTACTATGCTGAAAAGTAATCATTAAAAATGACATAGTTGGAATAGATACGTAAAATGGCTTAATGTAGTTTTTTCTACAAAGCACAGTACGGATAATTTATATTCAAAACGTTTGGTGTTATTAATGAATAAAACAGCATTAATAAGTAAACAACCCTTGATTGTATCAGTTAAGCAAAAGTACAAGAAACCATTTCCCCTCCATGTTATATGTACAACTTAGACAATTTATTGTGGTCTGAAAGTAAATGTTTTTTTAAATAAACACTAGAGGGCGCCGTGAATCATCTTCTAGTTTGATAGATTTCACTCATGCAAAACGAGAGAAAACTCGTTTTTTGTTTAGAATTTTTCTGTGTTGAGGCTAGATAAAAAAAAAAAATGCTTTTTAAGGGCTCTCTTTAAATTAGACCATTACATGACCAAAATCATATTTTATAATAATAATAATAATAATAATAATAATAATAATAATAATAATAATAATAATAAGGTATAGATTAGTTTATCCAGTTTTAATCATTACATTTTGACCTGACAAAAAGCTAAAAACAAATATTTTAGCGCTTTATTTGTTTTAACTGTTTTCATGTGTTCCCAACATACCCAGCATGCCGCTGCGTCTCCTTTCCCTCTCCGTACTCCTCCTCCTTGTTGCCGCGGCAGCCGTGGTGTGCGTCTCCATGACAACGCCGCTCCAGAGTTTCCGGGGCTGCGCAGTGCGCGAGTTCTCCTTTGTGGCCCAGAAGCCAGGCTGTAAGGGGCTGCACATCACCACGGAGGCCTGCTGGGGGCGCTGTCATACCTGGGAGGTAAAACAACGACCAGAACTTTCTAAATCCTATTTATAAAAGAGAATATATGTCAACAAATATTTACTTTAAAGAAGAATAAAAGTCTAAAGTGTGCAGATTATTTTTAAATGTTTCATGTTATATTTCACCAGAATCAATTAATATTGATAACTTTATTGATATTCATTAATTTTACCAAAATAATGACTGAATTAATTTGACAAAATAAAAAATAATCAAATATTCTGTTTGCTTAATTAAATCTGTGGGAGATTTTCTACCACTTACAATTGTACAATTTACTAAAACTTACTGTTGTGTATAAATGGAATAAACTCTATAGTTCTGGATTTCAATTTCAATTTTTCAATTCAATTTCAGCTGTTCTAAACTGCATTGCAACAACTGAATTGGACCTGTTGCATTTATATGAAGTCATGTCACTATTTTACTTAACAACCCAGAAAGTTAAATGGAAAACCAACATTTAGCTCTATGCAATTTAGAACTCAACCCAGAACAACTGGAACCAACATTTAATTTTATGTCTCGCTAATCTTAGCAAACATGGAGAACCAACACTTAGTAAATACCTCTTTAATCCAGAACAAACTTAAGAGCCAGAGAAACCCCTAATAGTTTATAAATTATGGACTACTTATTTTTATTAAACATGGGAACCAATATTTAGCTTTCCTTTTGGTCTTTCTTTTGGTTTTGTTGTTTTGTTTGTATTTCCTTCTAATTCATGTAAAGCACTTTGAACTACCTTGTTGCTGAAAAGGTGCTATATACATAAAATTACCTTACTATATTCCTGTAAAATTATGGCAGGTATATTTCATAAAATAGGTAGGAACAACCAGTTTGCAGCTGCCTTTGATGTGTTTTGTGTTTGTGCACCCTGCAGAGACCGATAATCGAGCCGCCGTACATCCACCGGCACCACCGTGTCTGCACCTACAGCCGCATCCGACACATGACGGCTCGGCTGCCGGGCTGCCTGCCCAACGTCTCCCCTCTCTACCACTACCCAATGGCTCTGCAATGCCACTGCACCTTCTGCTCCATGGAGGACACAGAGTGTCAGACCTTCTGATAGACACCTGTTTTTAATCAATAAAAAAGATTTCTGCTTATGCACAAGAGCTGAATAAAATGATTAAAAGAAAACTGTATTCATGAATACCAGAATGATATTGTTGCACTGTGTTTGTACTTAAATTTACTTTGTGTTATGGAAAGATGGTTGGGCCTCTTGATACTGGAGAAAACTCAGGTTTTCAAGAAAATGGCCGCTTATCAATTAATCATTAGTTGATAGATGAGATCAACTGACTTTAGATTAACTCATTAATAGATGATTTGCATCTGTAACATCAAGCCTTCAAGCTTTGAATGAAACAAAAACAAAAAAGTAAAAACAATTGTGGATGTATCTCCTGTCTACAAGGTTGCGTACATGATTTTATACGAGCCAGTCATCTTAGAAACAGAAAAACTTTGTCTAATCTTCTCTTTACTTTGTCAGTGTGCCCAAAATGACATACACAAACGCACATACACACACACGCACACACACACGTGTGACAGAAACACACTCAAACAAGCAGACGGATGTGACATAACCCACACTCACACACGGATTACGTTAACAAGTTTGGACTCCATGCGGACACTTTAACGACATCCTTGAGATGCCGTGGTTTCCATGACATCGGAAAGCGGCAGAGCCCCTGAGCGACAGAAACATCAGTGACCTCGCTGAGTCACCATGGAGTAAGTGTGTGTGTGTGTGTGTGTGTGTGTGTGTGTGTGTCCCGTCTCTCTGTTGATGAGGTGCTGCAGCTCATTCAGACCCAGTGTTTCGGCTTTTCTCCGCCGGTGGGAAAGTAATCGGAGGAAACCGTAGAATCTGTGACTGAACGCGCGGATCGGCATCAGCTAACAGCTTTGAGTTAGAGCGTGACGTAAAGACGATGGCATCATACTTTCTCTTTCCATCAGAGTGGAAATGTTTGGGGCTGCATGATGATTCTTTACAGGATGTTTGCATGTTTAAATGAAAAAAAAAAAAAACAACAACTGAGCATTACTCCAACAGATTTAAGTTTAAAGTAATCCTTTAAAGTCACAAACAAGGTTTGTCTGACTAGAAATAATATGGACCAGAGTTCTGACATGAATCTTATTGAAAGTTTGCAGAAGGAGCTAAAGATTAGGGTGATTGTTATGGCTATGTCTAAAAATCCTTGATGATCCCTGGATAAAATTAACTAGTAAGATTTGTAGTGGTGGGCAACATTAACTAAATAGTTAATTGTGCTAATCCAAAAGCACTAATCATAAACATTAGTTCAGCTAACACGCTATACCAACATGGTGTTTAGCAAAAGCTAATGCTAAAACGCTAAATTCAACCATTACGACACCCTCCAGGTGTCAGTGACACAACATGTGTTACAACAAACGGGATCAAATCTATCATTTCGTACCAACCTGTACAGAAGGAAGAAGATCTTTCACTCATGTTATCATGCATCTATGAAAAGCAGAAGTTGGAGCCTCCTGTACAACTATTGAAAATGCATTAGGCGGTTTCTGGATGGGAAGTCAACAACAAAACGCTTGTCTTGGAGATGCACCCATACAGCGGTCAAAACCAGCTGACCAAATGTGCTGATGCTCTGCTAGTGTTGCTAGGTAACGGTGAAATGTCTGTCGAATGTGACTTACCAGCCGAAGCACTGAGTGCCTTTAATTCTAAACTAAATTCCCACCAGCTTGGAGTTGCTTTTGAAACATTATAAATGAAACATTAATCAACATTTTGATGTGTAATGATGGTACTCGACAAAGTGTAATGTTTCAGTTGTTGACTGTGTGTTCGATAACTTTGTATTTTTGTGTTTTTTATGATGACAATGAAACCAATCAATGAAATGTGCCATACAAATAAACTTGATTGAACAATTGGAAGGTTGTTGAAACAGCTCATTTTCCAGACTCCAAAAAACATTAACTTACTGTCAAAAAGGTGACAGTAAGTTAATGTTATTATCATCTGGGTGATTTTTTAAGTGTATGAGCTGTTTTAGAAGTAGTAGAGGCAAATGAAAGTATAAAAACATGCAAAGTGTAAACTTTGCATAATATGTTTAAAGGTTTACTATGCCTCAGCTGAGAAGCTAAATCTTGGTTATACATCATCCATTCACCTCACCATAACCCATAATAAAACCATACTATGTTTTCTGTCTTTTTAAAGTCAATCCAAATCAAAAGTTGCAGAAAAAAGACAGTTTTCTGGTTGATAGCTCAGCTGTTTAGGAGTTACTGTTATCATTGGTCTAATTTGGTAGCTACGTTGGTCTAAAACGGCTCTGGATTTTAGTAAGTATTGTTGCTAGGATGACACAGAGCCAACACTTCCCCACAATATACCTACCATGTGCTGAAGCCACACAGACACACAGCTGATCCAAACCCACAGGATCTTCTGACCTGACTCTGTCCTTCCTGAGGAAAAAACAGATTTGCTGTGTGTATGTTTTTGCTGCTTATTAACTCATTTACAGTGTTCAAAAACCAACACCTGAGCACACAAACTTCAGTTATTATGTGATTTTCTTTATGCATGAGTGTGTTTTTACATGCAAGTCTTTATCTAGAAGAATGCAGTAAGGTAAAGTCAACTGTGTGTGTGTGTGTGTGTGTGTGTGAGTGTGTGCATGTGTGTGTGTGTGTTCTGCACTGATGGAAAACCTATTTAGTTTTCCTCTGTGTCACTGCAATAAGTGGTCCCTAAAAAAGCCTTAAAACCGGTGGACCAGTCGGAGATGCGAGGAAGGTAACTCGAACGATAAGGAAAGAGGTTAAAGATCTGAATATTTCTGGAGAATTTGGTTGTGCAGGTAGGAGGATAATCTGCAGAGAAGGAGAAAGAGAAGTCGGCGGGGGGAAATCCCACACACTCATCTTTCTAATCGTGGGTGTGTCAAAAGCTATAAGTGGTGTCGCTTCTACCTGTGTTACATATATCCCTGCATGGGGCTCAGGACACACATTCTCACACCTGTCAGACAACTCACCTGAAAACAAGAACTCTCATCTGTCCAGGTAAGAACCACATTTAATTCATCATCCATGTCATTAGTGAGAAAAACTCTAAAACGTATTTTTCTTCTTAGTCCTCTTCATGAAAAAATAATTTTTTTAATGAACAGGATTTAGCTGTAAATGCTGAAGTTAATTGGAAAATAGTCACATTAACAGAACACATTATTATGTTTTCTCAAAATCGATTAGATCTAAATTGGTGTTTTGCAGGTTTTTATTTTTAAATGTGCCTGTTATGATTTTAAAACATGAATAAAAGCAATTGGACAAAAACAGATGAGCGCATTTTAATTGTTTAAATACATTTTGGCTTGATTAATATGTAACATGGAGATTATTTTCATTTGGCAAAAAAAAAAAAAATGCATGAAAGTTCATGCATTTTTTTGTTAGTTTTTTGAAAACTAATTTTTGGTAAAATCTTGATTTTTTCCATGTTTAAGTCCATTGAGTTTCCACAGTTAAGTCAGCACACCCTGGGCAGCCATCGTGTTTGACAAGCACTTTTTTGGAGCTTTTATTTATTTGGACTTTGAATACAGGTCAACTTTAAGAAAAAACATGAGGGCCAGGATGCAACATTTATTTTAAATTATGAGAAAAGAGAGGCATTGCATAAATAAAGTGGGGTAGGGTATCAGAACCCCAACACAAAATATAACAAAAGTTTTAATGAGAAATGTTCAGCGTCTTGTGAAGTTATGCTTTGGTATTGGTTTTACAGTTAATATTTAATGCTTAACAGAAATACTTAATCTTTTAATAAATCAACATAAAGTTACTTTGAAACAATTGAGTCTATTTAAAATAATAATTTAAGCTGAACTGAGCTGATCAAGTCAGATTTCATAAATCTACAAGCTTTTTTCTAATTAAAAAGCTTTTTTTCATGTAATTTTAGAATGTCTTTCTGGTCAAATTGCGTCTTTCTTCTGCTATCATTATGAATATATTCTGGTAATTAGACATTGTGCAGAAGAGAGGACTGAAACAAAATCCACTTTTAAAAATATTTTCTGTCATTTGTAATTTCTTTTTTAGAAAAGAAAGTGAGAAAAATAAAAATCAGATCTGGTGTGGAAAAAAAAAATCTAAGATTTTATTTTTAGGCCATATTGTCCAGCATGATATGAGAGTAAAATTTACTGCAAGAAATTTTCTACAACAGATACACAGAGTCTTGCAAAAGTATTCACAGCCCCTGAAGGATTACATGTTTTCAACTCTGACAAGCTTCAGTTTATGGGTTTTTACTCTTGTCTACAAATAAAAAAATTTAAAGCGTGTGGTGAGCATCTGAATCCAGTCCTTTAGGGCCTTTATGTTTCTGTCAGCTTTGGACTGAAATGTCCGCCCGTTCTTCTTTGTTAAACAGCTCAAGCTCAGTCAGATTAGACGAGGAGAATCTGAGAATCAAAATTAAGTTTAAGTCTAGACTTTGACTGGGTCATTATTCTCCCCACTGAGCCGTGGGTCTCTGCAGCTCCTCCAGAGTCACCACAAGCCTCTTGGCTGCTTTTCTGATTAATGTTGTCCAGTTGGCCCTGTCTTGGTAGGTTTGCAATTGGGAAACACTCTTCCCACATTAGATGATGATTAAACACTGAGATGTTCTGATGCTTCTCAGAATCAGGCATTTTTTTCTCAGTAAAAAAATGCCACATTTTTGTTGTGGCATTAATGTTGTGGCAAAAATGCCACAACATTAATGCACCACTTTCAATAAAACACATTAAAGCTTGTGGTTTTAACTTGAACTGTTAATTAAAGGTTATACATTATTATTTATATTTTGAAGGATTTTTGAAGAGTACCGTCTGCTGTTTTTCTGTGCAAAATTGATCATTCTATCCAGCAGCGTTTCTGCAAGTTTCACAAGGTCAAATTTAAGTCTTTCTAAGACATTTTGATGCCAATATGGGGGACAGTTGGGGCTCCTAATCCAGGTAGTGCCAAAACTAAAAGTTTTTGGGGAGTACAAAATGCAACTGGCCTTGTAAAGGATGGCAACAGACATGAGGCAGTGATATAAATGAACTTTGTCCTCAAAACTGGCCAAAAAATTTGCATTTACTCACTATAGATTACCGCTTAAAGTCACAGAACGCAACAAGATGTCTGAACACATCTGCACACCTTTTTCTGACAGTAAAGTCCTGCGAGGAAAAAAAACCCAAATAGATATACAAGATCAAGCAGCACAGCCTGTGATTAAAGTATTTAAGGCCAACTTACATCTTTAATTTAATTTAAGACATTTTGAGGCCTTAACTATAGATACATTAAATACCCTGTTCAGTGCCAATTTTTAAAGCCTTGACAAAAACATTTATAGGTAATTAGTTATGACAGAGGAAACGTTTTGATTGTAACGTTATTATTGGAGCCTCCCTAACGGATGCCCCCAAAGCGAGAAAGAACAAACCTTCTGGAGTGGAAACCCCACATAAGAGGAAAAAACAGGGTTTTCCCCTTCGCCATCAGCTGACACAAAGCCTCAAATGTAAATACTCAGCCTCAGTGCTGACCTGTTACTGTGGTCGTTCCTACGGTCCTAATTGAGTCCCAGCGGGGATCTTTCTGCTGCCGCCACGGCGCTGATTCACAAACCTGGAAAAAGCTGGCAAAGCGGAGGGCAGAGGTCAGGATCACCAAAGTCCCAGGAAAAGTTTAGCTTTGTTTGCACACGTGTGGGAGTGTGTGAGTCAGGAGGGGGCCGGGTGTCACTCAGCATGTGTACATATCACATCTGGACTGACGTTCATGAAGAAAACGATTTCACAGTATAGCATTAACGCTCCGTGCAGCGAGAGGGAGAGGCGGAGAACGTGATGAAGTTGTGTATGTGCATGTATCAGCAGGTAACTGTTCGATGAGGCAGACTGGAAAGACACAGACAGGGCTGTTATTATTCACATTATTCAGTCCTGCAGGAGGGGAAATCACCTCAGAGGAAGGGGGGAGGCTTTAATTTGAGGGGAAAATTGAGCAGAAGAGGATAAGAAACTTTTTAATGGAGCCCCTAGGAGACATGGGGGAAATATTTTCTTTTGGGTTACCTCTCAATAAATTTGCAAATAAATCCCGGCATATTTTATATTCAGTCGCAGCGATAACAAATGTGCAGAAAATTGGTTGAAAATCAACGTGTTAACATGCTCATGTTTGTCTGTGTAACATCTTTCGGTGGAGACGGGACTACACATGAACCATTCAGACTGACAACGATTAAAACTGTCAGATGGCAATTTTACCTGTGAAAAAACCTCAAAAAATAGTCCAAATAGTTTGGGTGTTTCTTTCCTTCTTACAGAAAGTTTCTGTCATGTTTATGTTTTAAAGTAGGGATAGAAAAACCATGTTTGACCTGTTTTTGTGGTGCGTTTATTCAAAAGAAAAAGATATAAAACTTTGGATAACTCACAAATGAGATATTAACATAGAATTCCTACATGGAAAATCCTCATACTGTAGAATAAAGACTTTCAGTAGTCAAGATGACGCATAAACTGACTGCTAAATACATTAAAGTGAGGTAAAAAAAAGAAAGAAAGAAAGAAAATAAATCCCTCCATGTGTAAATTTGGTTTTGTCAGCCCAAAAGCAAAACAAAAGACACTTTAATTAATTTAGAGAGGCCTTCACTTGTTTAAATTGAAAGTCAAAGAACCCAGATAAATGATTTATTTATTTATACATGTTGTCTCCATGAGATACAATATCTCATTTACAAGAGAGACCTGTTCAGGTAAAACAAACAAAGCCACAAAACAAGCAATTAAAAATTTTGACTCAATTAAATAAGCAAATAAAACATGAGCTTCTTTAATTCACTGAGCTTAATGACTGTAGGATTCCAGCAATGTTTAACGTACCGTTTTGTCTGATCGGCCCAGATGTTGCAGAGCATCTCACACATCTGCCTGCTGGCCCTGATGTCGCTGCTGCTGCTCTTCTCTCTGGGGTGGAGCAAAGAGAAACAAACCCCAGGATGCCACCTATACCGTGAGTTTCAATATAGCAAAAGTAGCAAATGGCTTTGCACTACAACATCTGGCAAAAAAAAAAAAAAAAAGTTAACTTTGTTGGGGGAAAAAAGAGAGAAATAAATTGTGAAATTACTGGATTTGTATGTTGAAAACATACCTGCAGTTACGTAAAGTAGTGATTCAGTTCAGGTAGAGGTTATAAATCTTCACAACTTGTTAAACTAACAAGGAAACCTTCTATTTCCAAAATAAATGCATCTTTAAAAAAGCTAGTTTTAAGAACTAGTACAGTAAGGAAAATCTCAAACCTCTCTAAGTTGATCTGCTGAGTCCAGTTCCTCCTTCCTTCCAGCCATCAACGTGACGATCCGCAGCGACCGTCGTGGCACCTGCAAAGGGACCCATCTGGTGTACGCCTGCGTGGGCTACTGTGAGTCCAGCGCTTTCCCGTCCCGATACTCGGTTCTGGTGGCCTCAAACTTCACACACAACATCACCTCCGCTTCACGCTGCTGCACCATCAGCAAGGACGCCAAGGTGCGGTTTTCTTTGTTTTCTGAGTCTAGATCAGTGGTTCTTGAACTTTTTGGACCTGTAAATACCAAGTTTTGAAGGCACCACCATCAAGATACAGATTTTAAAACTGTACTACAAAGGGAAATGGACCTTTTCAGGATGTTGTCTCCTGTGAGAGTAACAAACAAAATAAAAAATCAGCCTACATTTTGCTCCGGGTGATTGGTTAAAGGATAAATATTTAGGTTTTCAATTTAAAGTAAAATAAATAAAGTTCCTTAGCAGTATCTTCTTCAAGTCTACAAAATTGTCAAACATTTGTGCTACGTTTGTGCAGCAAAAATGTTCTTTTGTGCCTCTATCATTTTAAAAATATGGAATGTTTCCAGAGGTCATGAAAGGTCAACCAACCCCTACCTTCTACAAATCAGACAAAGTTGGTACCAGTCAATCCAACTATGTTAGTGCAGCAAAAAAATGTGTTTGTGCTGCGTTTGCTTTGAAGATATGAGTGAAAGTTTAGAGTTTAAAAGGTCAACTAGCCCCCCCCCCATATTACCAACATTTAACAAAATGGCATCAAATGTTTGTGCTACGTTTGTACAGTAAAAAAAAAAATATTTGTGCCACTATAATTAAAAAAATATTCATAAAAAAGCTTCCAGAGGTCAACCAACCTCACACTCATATTTACTAAATTAAACCAATTTGGTGTCAAACGACTCAGCTACGTTTGTGCAGCAAAACATTTTGTTTGTGCTGCTTTTTACTTTGAAGGTATTAATGATGACTTCTGATGACCTACGGAAACTTTTTGAACAATATCTTTAAAATGTAAAATGATGGATGCCTCCCAATGACATGTTGTAATTTGCCACTATATACATAAAATGAAATGAATTGAAATTTAATTACTTTGCCCTAAAGTATTTAAGAGACAAATTTCAGGTAATAAGTTCAATCCAAGTCTATCGGACTGTAAGGTATGGAATAAATCATCCTTATTTATCAATCCCACTGGTTTTCAAATTTGGAACGGTTTGAACTTAAACTGGGTTTTATGTTTTAAGTTCTGACTTCAGAAGTAAATGGAGCAAATAATAAGTAGCCATCAACACATTTGTTAGCTTCAGCCTGTACAGAGAATGCTTCTCTTATCAGAGTGTTCTCATGAAGCTAAGAACACTTTGCTCAAATCTTTTTGGCCGTTTGTGGTCATTAACGATCCTTCACAGGTCATTTGTATTTAAAATTTATTCTTAGCCGTGTAAAAACTGTTTGGCGAGCAAAGTTTTGCTCACAGCCCGTGGATATTCTGTGTTTTCCAGGTCAAAGTTCGCCTGGACTGCCCGCGCGGTCGGCACTACGACGAAATCGAGATCCTGACGGCGAAGGCGTGTCGCTGCGACATGTGCCGCAAATCCCGCTACTGACATTTCATCACTTCAGGACAAAATGCTGCATTCCAACAATTCACCGCATAAAAAGCAGATTATAGTTTACAGAGTTAAAAACAAAACTACTTCAGCAGAAACTTTTCCACTTCTAGCCATGCTTTGAATAGACAAAATATGCCTAACTCATCGAATTGAAAATGTTTTACATTTTTGTCCCTAATTTGTCTTTAATCATCGAAAGCAAGATGGCCGCCGTCCTGAAACTTTGAGTTGTCCCTGGATAAACACACCTGAATAAAATGAACAGAGTCATGCTTATGACTGAATAATGTGTCTCTGAAGACTTGTCTAAACTTAGCAGGACTCCTGTTGACTAAACTCTAAAATCCTGAAGAAAATTAGCATTGAATGCATCTCAAGTTCTTCTTAGTTGCTGGATGAAAAATGTTTTTGCGTTCTTGTTTCACTTTTATTGCATTTGTCGGTCATGTTCTGTCAGGAATCTTTTCTTGGAAAAAAGTGACAAAAGTGTAAAAACTGAACATTTACAAAGCCTGGAACAGCAGTGTCCCAAGTGTGTCCATCAGAATGATTCTGCATGACCTTTGACATGAGACACACATCTAGTATCTAAACGTCTGTCTGCATCTGGATGTTATATGCAGAAAGACACAGTTTAAATTTTTTAGAGGGAGTTCTTTACAGTAAAATGGGAAATGTTGTTGAATACAAAAGGTTTTTAGTCTTTTTATTATGTTTCTCTTAATTTGCTCCTTTTCTTTAGGTCAATGGGAAGTGAAAACACAAACCTCCAGCAACATTTACTAAAATAAAGACTTGGATACTAGTTCGCTCTAAAGAAATCATAATTATAGACAAAAAAAAAATATTATATTTTTTAACCTTATGCTTTTCTTTAAATAAAAAACTAATTTGCCAGATTGTTTTTATATTTCAGAGGCACAATGATTTACAAATCCCTTTCCTACTAAAATCAGAATCAGTTGTTGCTTAATTAAAATACTGCATGTTAATTTAAGGCAGAACAAGTAAAATAAATATTTTTTTTTTTATTGGGGAAAAAAGGTGGCCTGCATGTACTCTGAATGTGGTAAATGTGGCCCACATGTTTCGACATCACAAATATCAGGCGTGGCACCATTAGTTAGTTTGTTACTTTATTTGCTCACCTCTCTGCTAACTTGGTAGAATAAATCAGTACAAATCACATAAAATGGTCAAATACTGAGGATATTTCTTATTGCAATAACCATTATACAAAACAAGAGACCAAAGGAATGTAGAAAATGTATTTATTTTAAATCTGAACTTAAATGACCATTTGTAAATAATATCTGTAAATTAAACAAAGGCTGTTGGAAATGGCAAATTAAACAAAATAATGCACTACCTACTTCCTTTATATAAATATTTGCCTACTCTGCATCTACTACTCGTTGTGATGTTGTTTTTGTAACAATGAACTGTTCTTATATTTATAGCTAATGAACTGTTAATGAAAGACAGCACAGGTAAACAATAAACAGATTATAATTTGGTTATTTGGCTTCTTGGTCTGGATTCTTTAATAGGCCTCATCGTAGCATGTTCTGTAAAAAGGGAAAATTGATCATTTGATTTTGTTTAAGCCATAATTACATAAAATTAAAACATTAAGGAAGTAAAATATGACAGTTCAAGTTGTTGTGAATACTCACCTCTGCCATTTTTCTCTCCCAGCAGGTGTGCACAGGTAAAACGTTCCCCAGGTGGATTGTGCACAGTTATTAGTTCTGGGTCTGCACCACCAGGGAGTGGATTAGAGGCGTGTTTCTATGTTGAGTAATTATTGGAATTAAAATATATTCTGTTTGTCTTGCTTTGTAAATGCTTAATTAGCTATGCGTTTAAAGGAAATATTCTTGTTTTGTTGATCATTTTTCAGTTGTGTATCCCCTGTAATGGTTTCTCCCAATTCAGCTGCCTTCTTATTTAAGCAGGCTATCATTCATTGTTTCGGTGTGGTTTGGTTTTTCTGTTGCACTAAAATTAAACAAGCTTCAATCATTTTGGGTCCCACTTCCATGACAGTGTTCCAGTTTTAAATGCTTTTATTTAAGCTTTTAGCATAAATGAACTTAATCTGAGTAAAGTATTGTGTAGTAGTACATTTCTAAAAATCACCTGTTTAATCTTCAGGAGGTCTGAAGATGAAAGGGAAGACCTTTCTGCAAAAAGGAGAAAGAAAAGAATACAAATTGAACAGTCAGCACGGCCATAAAAAGTAAATTTTTTCATACTGCAGCTATTGCGAACTGCAAGCTTACGCCACACATGGGCTTGTCAGGCCTAAATGTGCCTGGGGACATCTGGCGTCTGTCTCATCAGACTTGTCAGGGGAATATTAAAAAGTCTGCAGATAATAACTGGATTTCCCCATCACTGTGTAATCTCTCACAACTTCTTTCTTGAGCTTCTACAGTACAATTCAGCTCTTGCTTCAGCTTTGGGCATGAAAGTCAACGAAGCTTGGTGACATAACCATCATAGGTGTGAGTGTGCTGAACAGCCATGGCTTTTTAGTTTTTCTCCAAATATATTGTATGTTTATGGGTTAAGGAAAAACAGACTGGAAAAGCTGTGGTGTGATTACAGGAGGAGCATCGGTCGCCTACCAGACTCCAGTAATGATGGAAGTTGAATTAAAAAACTACATAGGTCAGCAGCTTATGAAACTTGTCACAAGCTGTTGATGTCTAATGCCCTTTATTTATCGTCTAATTTTCTGACCAACCTGATGAGCTGCTTGAGAATCCCTGGTTTCTCAGGCGCCGTGTTCTTCTCTGCTGTGAACTGTGTCATCTGAGGCTGCAGAAGAAATCAAACTCATTAAGCAGTTGAAGAACCACCTATTCTAGGACTGGGCAATAAATCAATAATAATATATCCCGTCAGTATCAAAAGAAGATAAATCTGATTGAATGGTCGATAATTTAAACTCTGAACCATGAACCGCGCAGCATTCTGGGAGATGTAGGCAGATGAAAGGTATTAGCTGCTCAACCTCCAGCTAAGTTAGTCTGGTGGAACCAAGTAACTCACTCACTATTTGGTTGCCTAGCAACTCACTCATTCTATGGTTACCTAGCAACAACCTGTTGAGTAACATGCGCAGCAGCAGTTTAAGGTTTAACCAACGAGCCTAACTGTTTAAAAATAAAATTAAAAAAAGTGGAGTGAAAAAAGGAAATGAGTACAACACCTCAAGAGAAAACTGGATAAAACAAGAAATGCCACGCCACCAGTCTGGCCATATTTTGGATATTTAAAACAAGAACTAATCAATAATTATCAATATTGACCTATATGAAACACTTGTATCATGATACGTTTTTCACCCATATCGTTGAACCGTATTCTGTTCTCAGTTGGCACACCTTTCTACTTCACATAAAAAATAAAAATAAAAACAAAAGATTAACATGCCATAAATGGGGGAGTGGTACACATTTTGGTTTTTTACAGTATATTAAAAGGAAATTCAATGTTGTTGTAAATTTTATATAACAAATTACTAATATAGCAACGTCCCCTGCCTCTTTCAATGTCTGAACTTGCAGTGCTAACATATTGTTTGTTTTATCAGTTACTCTATCACTATTTATTGTCCCAACTAGAAACCCCAAAACTAATTATTTAAGAGTAATTGGGGCATCTTCCATTACAACTTCATCAGGGGAAGCCATGATGACCTCAGCTAGCTCAGGTCATCATGACTGCTGTTATATGAACAGTGACTGCTGTTCATATAACAGCAGTCACCTCGACGAGGAATATCGTTATGTTTCAATATCACCAAATCTCATACGACTAAGTCAGAAAATAAAATTATTTCCTTATACGCTCTCATTCTCCATCAAGTGATAAATTAAACTTCACTTCCATTTGCATTATAATTTTTCTCTTTTGTCTCGCTCTTTCTACCAAAAACTGGATGATAACAGTTTTCCGTGTAGTGTTTTCGTCTCAGTTGGCCCCATTTTTGAAGGACAATTTTGTTTACAGAGATGTAATAATTCATTTTATTTGTTGTTACTGTTGGTTTATTGTGGATATCTAAAATGTCCTCAACTTCCAAAGTCTATTGACCTTCGACAGTGTGTTCTTGCATCATTATACCATTACCATTACATTACTTGGAAATGGTCTCAAAGCAACAAAATTCACATTTATCACATTCACTTCTGGGGCAATTTATCTTCCAACAAAATGTGTTATTGTGACAAGCCTACTCCTGTTCTTATCCAAACCTGTAAAATACATTAACCAACCTCCAGGAACCCTGATAAATGGGAAGCTCCATGAAAATACTCATCACACGTGTCATGATGAGCTTCGTGAGAGAAGGGCACACTTTGTACAGAACATGCTGTCCAAACTGAACCCTTCTAAAAGCTCGAAGACTTGCACCGCCACTGACAGTTTTTTTTCCACCTGCACCAAATGTTAAGAACAAACTAAGCAAAGGAAAGGGAGAAGAAAGTCAAAGTGGACGAGTGGAAGAACAAAGGATCAGGTGAGACAAAAGGCCGAGGGCATGACGGCAGCGGAGGAGGGTAATTTGGGGACTTAGTTGCTAATCGAACTGAAGCACAATCAGCAGAAACGCTCACGTACACATAATCACACATTTACTCATACAACCTGATGTAATGCCATTATTAGCCATAATCGCCCTCGTTATCCCATCTGTCAGTGCAGCTAACCTGAGGCAGTAAGGAAGACGGTGATGCTACATGTGCTTCTATTTTTACATCTAAATGGATTAGATAAGACATTGAAAAGGGATCTGAGAATGAAACTAACAGATGAGTATTTGGAAGTATATACATTAAAATAACTTTAATTTGAGATTAAGGGTATTATGCTTCCTTGAAAAAGTAAGGGCTATACAAAACGTGTTTAATAAATTTTTGAACAAAATGATTCTCAGATAAGGGGATTTTATTTGGTCAGTTCTGCCTATTTTGAGCTAATTTCAGAATGAGCTGTTTTAGGGCATCCTGTCACTTTAAATTCTAATAAGCTACTGCTGGCGCAACTCAATGTTTACACTCGCACATGAAAATGGCTGCAAACAGATGTGCAACTACACAACCGTACATCTTTGAACAGCAGAAGTGGAGCCTCCTGCACCACCAACAAGAATGCATTGGGTCTTTTTCAGTTGCCATTGTCCAGCACATATAGCATTAAAACTAGCTGACCAAACATGCTGGAGCTCAGCTTAGGTTGCTAAGTAATCCAAGCTGGGGTTGCTAGGTAACAACACAGGGCCTTCTGATTTGTGTTGTTACATTCAAGAGGTTTTTGAAATGGCTCATTTTTCAGACACAAAAGACATTAATTTACTGCCAGAAATACAGCTGGGTGTTTTCCTCAAGCACTTTTTTAGAAGCAGTTCAAACCCAAATGGAAGCATAAAATTATGCAAAATGTGAATTTTGCACAATAAATCCCCTTCAATAAAAAGCTTCACCTCTTCAGTAGTTGCTGAATCCTGCACTGCCTCCTTCACTGTGTGCTGATGCTCCAAGTCCACCGTCCTGCAATACAGACGCAACACTAACCTTTGTATAAGGTAATAAGGTATTGTAAAATACCTTATTTTACTGTCGTCATATGGGAATTATATCAAGGATAATTACAGTAATGTTTTTATATGAAGCAAGACACAACAAGAGAGAATTTTAAAAAACTGAAAACTCTTTCTCAAGCTTTAATGCCATGATTTTATTACGTTTCTTGTGCTTTTTATCATTCTTTGTATAACTTAACGATGGTTTTTGGTATATAAAATCACCAAAAATGTGTGTGAAAAGTGCTTTATAAATAAAATAAATAAATTTTTTCTTACCAAATTTTTAGAATAAATATTCATATAATTTTTTGTTATGATTTTATTCATTCGTATTTTATTTTTACATTAAATTATGCCTACATCAAATAAGGAATTTCACATTTAATTGGATCATTTTTAATTAATGTAATTCCGAGAACCCCAAAGACAGCTGACAACAGAAAATATTTATGCATTTATGTTCAATTAAAATTAAACATAACTCCAGTTTGTTCTTTTTTCCTTTTCTAAAATCCACGAGCAGAACTTTCTTCTGCTCATAAAAAGTAACTTTTATTTGAAGCAAAATTTTAGTGAGGTACTTTTTACTTTAATTTAAACCAAACTAGTAACTTTACTTTACTTAAGAAAAAATATCAAAGTAACTGTATTTTTACTTGAGTACTTTTTTTTTTTCTTTTTCCACCTTTGGTTAAGCACAAAAAAACAAATCCTCGCTGCAGGCCATCATGTAGACACACACTCAGACATAAAGACAAAGCTGTGAAGCAGGTTGTAAGAAACCATTGAGAGCTGAACACTGACAGCTGTAGATGCTGCACTGATGTACTGTTATTGTAGCTTAAACTCACGTCTGCGTTTTAATCTGTGAGAACAGCTCAAAGGATACCAGAGAAGTGCTGCTGATGCTCGCGGCCCTTCTGTGTTTTAGGATGTTTACACAGTTTGTGCATCTGAGCGTCTGCTCATCAACCGTAGGGAGGATTCTGTTTATATAAGTGAAATACAATCTGAAGTCAGGAAAAAACCTTTTTCATGTGTGCATGCACAATCGAAATAATCGTTTACGCCCCACTGATCGGACTGTCAGAGTGATTGATGTGGCGCCCGCTCGCCTCTCGTCTCTTCGTATCTGCGAGAACTGCTGAAGCGCGTTCGTGTGTGAGTAAAACTGTGATAATTACAATGAATGAGTGTGCCGATGCCTTTGAGATGCTGTTTGGTGATGTAAGGTTAACCAGCATGCTGTTCTGGTGTTATAAAAGAGTGGGAAACTTAAGTAATGCATAAACCCAAATATGAATGTTTACTTTTTTATTATATTTTTATAGTTGAGTGGTTTTTCGATCTCTGACATGGCACAAACTGAGAATCCAGCACTGTAAACCTATCTAAAAGTAGGATCAAATTTGGCTCTATGTCATTGCATTTTTGTTCATTATTAGTTTTTATAGCTGCTGAAACATGCAACTATATTTACTCAGCAATAAACCCGTAACCACTATTAACTGTAAGGGCTAATCCAGGGTTTGTGTAACGTACAGCAGCAGCTCAGTCCATCGTCCACCTAATCTGAGAAATCTGTTGAACCCGATATAGATAAAAAACCTTGAGGATAATTTGCAACGACTTTGCTTGTATTGAAAGCACTGAATCCATTTGGACAGCTTGAGTGAGGGTTGCGACACAGAGATCAGTCCCGGATCAGTACTGTAATCTACGCCTCTTTGATTCAGTAATCACAGCAATATGAGCCGCTGTGATCTCACCTGGTATGATGTGAAAAGACAAAAGTATCTGTAACGTGGGGGTTGGTAAAGTCACTTCATTTAAATAGCACAGAGTGCTTCACAGAAGCCGAAAATGAATAAAAACAAGAAAAGTTTGGGTTGACTGGGGGCTTAGTTCTGTGTTTATTGTGGAGCTATAATACAAAAATTGCCTTTCATTTCCGTTAGAAAGTAATCCAGACTAAACACTTCTTTGTTTTTTCCTGTTCTTTGTGTCTTTTCAGCTGTATACAACCCCAGTTTGTCACAGCAGGTTGCTGCACATAGTGGAGATTTCCTTCTGTAAAACAGAGAAGTTGCTGCAAACTCAGCAACTCGACACAATCAACCAGGTAACTCCAGAAACGCAAATAAGTGTTAAATAAAATATGAGTATTTTATTTAACAAGTTGGTCTGAATGTGACAGGCTGAGTTGTGTTGGAATGACATCCACAGAACACAATTTACAGGTGGAAATGGGGCAATACTTAGGGGGAAAAAAAGCTACATTCTGATAGGATGTTTGCCTTGTCTCAAGTTTAAATTATCTGATTTTTAAGAGTGAAATCTGCTAAAGAAACTCAAATAACTTGAGCTGTAGAAGAACTTTGTTTTACTGAATAAAGCCTGAGATGATTGCAGGAATGTTAAACAAATTATAGCGCTGATATAACTGACTTTACACGCTTCTGATACAGAAATTGTTAGCTAAACATGTCTTATATATATAAATATGAAACTCTTTTATTGTTATACCAAAAAAAAAGGCTGTGCAGGGTGATTCTTTTTTTGCGGCAGCAGCATTCCATGTCCCCATGTTTTGCTTACAATTATTTTTTGTAAAATGTGCCAAATATTTATAACAAAGTATTTTAATTATATATTTAGATGTTTGCCATTATTTAAATATAAATAAAATGCCTTTTAAATATTATTTTGTTCTTTACACACCTTTTTGGTGACCAACATGCTCCATTTCATGGCGTCCACAGTGCAGTGTAATAGACTTCCTCATGAAGTTTAAGCTATAAAATATATATTTTTTAAGTTTTTCTTCAATAAGTTGATTGACTGGACTAAACATTATTTTAATATGCAATTGAATCTGTTAAAACTATTTTTCTCATTTGATATTTTCTTCATATTATACATGTCCCAGTACTAACTTTCCACCCTGTTAGGATGTTTCCTTTTTGCCTTCAAAAAGTCTAAAATTCCATAAAAACCATTTAATGTAAGTGACATCAATTGGTTTTGAAGTGAAAAGTTCCACCCTGTTAGGATAGATTGTGAAAAAATTTTATTCAGTGAATTTAAAAAAACATTATATTAGATTTACTCATTAAAGGTTTGTTATTCTGTTGAAGATTATCTAGCTACATGTTCACCACATAAATAGGTGCAGGAAGATTAGTTAGAAAAGTTCCACCCTGTTAGGTTCATGTACCAAACATGGTGGAAATTAGGGTGAAAAGTAATAATTTTAAGTAAAATAAAAAAAAATGTCAGATGATGGAATAGAGTTGCAGAGCAGTCTGAGGTATTATCAGATGTCTTTGCCATTTGTCTGTTTTCATTTCACTTGGTACCCCCATTGACTCCTGTGAGGGGAACAATGAGTACCTGTCATGGGAAAATCCACTACAAGGATATCACCTGTTTTCCCAAATAGAGCCAGGACAAATACTCTGCCTATACTTTGACTTGAAATAGGCAATCCTGCAACCAATGATGAAAATCGTCAGATTTTAGAATCGAACACATTAATTTTCCACCCTGTTATGGGACAATCCACCATGTGATGTTCCATTCCACACGTTTTTATTAAATATTGTTACAGAAACATTAAGTACTGTGAATTTTTCTGTGCCATGTTGGGAATTGAAGACCAATAAACGCACATATTGGTATAAGTTTTTAAATTACCAATATTTTCTATGCTGTCAGTAATAATCAGTAAAAAAAACCTGTTTTTTCTTTACAATACAGACATAAATGATTATTTCAAAATATTTGTGGTCTATATGTAAATGTTCATAACAGGGTGGAACACATTCAGAGACAATGGTGAAAAAAAACACGTCATTATTAATTTATCCAATCCTGAGCTTGCCCATTCATTTCTTATTGTTAAACATGTCAGTGTTGTAACACAATATTTAAAACTTAAAACATTAATACTTTTTTTTTTCAAATGTTCTGAAGCCGAAATGTTGCCGCAAATAAAGAATCACCCTGCATTATCAATAGTATACCAAACCCTAACAAAGACTAATTTGCTAAACCAACTTGAAGCTTGTGTGACTCTAAAGGTGTAGGACGTATTTCCACATTTAAATATAACTCATCTTCAGGTACTCACCCAGGCACTGATTTACTGCTTTCAGCCTCCATGTCTTTCATTAATCGTTTAATAATAGCGTCCTCTAGTGGCGAGTCCCCACGACTGCGCTTTGGCCTTGGCTCATCAGAAAAAGTGGGAATGAGCTGCATTTCCTTTGTCTAAAATAAAAATACAAAACACGTTAACAGCTCTTTTTTACATATAAACTTACATCATGGTACATAGCTTCAGTATTACACAAAACCTAAAAACAGAAATGATTTTGCATGAATAGCACACAAAAAAGGCTTTACAAAGGCTATACTTAGGCTTTACAATTTGTGTTTAGTGGATAAGAATGAATAACTCACCTTCTCTCTTTGAGTCCCTGAAACAAGATAAATATTTCCACATTAGAGGATGTTTTATTTGCTCTTTATCACATTCAGCTTGCCTAAAAAAGCTTGTGATCACTTCTTCATCTTCGTCTTAATTGCTCTGAAGCTCCACTAGCGGATAAATAAACCTTAGTTCAAGGAGACCCCGGTGATACCGTCTGCTTATCGAACAGATGCTGCATCCATCCTCACCTCTGAACGTGTTCTTCTCCAGGTAGAGGATGATAGCAAAGGGGTAGAATGACAGCTTCTTTGCATCGTGTTTGCACACTTTCCCCCAGTTCTTTTTGTCTGGAAGGCGAAGTCAAGAAAACATTTAGGTGATGGATGGCTGACAGTATCACTGTGTGCAATATTCGCACCACAAAGGACTGTTTTAAGTGCAATAATTATTGACTGACATATTCCAAGCAGGAGGTTGGACTTCTTCAAACAGATGGACAGAAGGTCGGATGTCCAGATTGGTACATGGAGAGCTGCTAGGATGAACGCAACTATTTAATGTAAATAGTTCAATTGTTTAATTAATTAATTAATTATTTAACTATCTATTTAATTTACCTTTGGGATTAATAAAGTATTTTTGAATTTTAATTTAAACACTTTTTGAACACAACTTTTATTTAAAAACCACCAGAGGAAATTTACTTTTTGAAGTTCTCATAATTATCATGTTGATAATGTAACAAGGAACAAAATCTGAAAATAAAATATTTTCATACTTTTTTTTCTTTTCCAGTTTCAGGAAACTACTTTAATCCAATTCCATACCAAATAGTCTTTGAGACTATAGAAACTCTGTATTTTTTTCGGTAGTTTCCTACAGTAGATGCAAACAGCAGACCAAAATCACAAGTTTTATACAAAGAAAGACCCATGTAACTGTTGATGAGCCAATTTCAGGTTAACAGACCAAACCCTGGCTAAATGGGGGGTGGTTCATATTAAGACAATGATGGACAAATAAACCAAAGGAAAGGATACAAGGAAAAACGATGAAATGTTCAGTGGAGAAGGGCTGGAGGTAGTCCAAGTTGCCAAGGACCGCTCTGACAATTTCCTTAAAGCACAAAATATGAGACAGGGTAAGAAAAATAAATGTACGCAGATGAAAAAAAAAACTGTTTTAACTGGCAATGACAAAGCCTCAGTAATTACCTCTATTTCTTGATCAAAGCTTCCTTCTTGCAAAACCTCATCTTCACTGAGTATAAAAAAATGTACATCATAAATACAAATAACTTTAATAACAGACTCAGGTCAATAAAAACACAAGAAAAAAAAAGTCAATATTGACACCCTAAACAAGATTACTGCCTCCTTTTTAGACTGCGAAGCTCAAGTACTACACCCGAAATAAAATAAACTAAAATAAATAAATAAATAAATAAATAATAAAAACAAAATCTAATTTGAAAATATCTGATTGGAGAATAAAAAATAGCATTTGATATTTTAAGTGTTTTGCATGAAAAGAATTTAAATGATCAGATTTAGAATTTCTGATCATTTGTAAATAAATAAAAGTCCAACTCAAACCTAGCAAGATAGAAAATTACGTGGGTAAACTTAAAAAAGAAAGAAAGAAGTAGTTAATGACTAAAATTGCCATTGAAGTGGTTAAGTATCAGAAAATGCATGTATATTTTCGATATACGGTGAGGACATAAGTAAATAATGATGACATTTACAAAAAGAAATTAGAAAACACACATCTGGATAACTGACAGAATATTTGAAGCTCTGGCTCTGAGTAAACAAACAGAAACCAGAGTTTCTTTCCCTTCTGTTAAGAGGTTGTGATTTTCCCTCAAACCTCCGAAAGGATGCGAGAATAATGTAATAACATGAATATCTGCCTTGCCTGAAGCTGTTTCCTCCTCTAATCTTGAACTTGTAGATTAAACTATCAGCTGTAAAGAAGCGAGTTTCTGGGGATGGGAAAGAAAAGGGCCGCAGCGCCATCTCTGACATGCCGTAACTGAAATTAGATAACGTACAAACAGCTTTGAAACTTTTAACGCATTTTTAAGAGAATTGTTCAACTTGTTATCAAGTAGTTTTGTAAATAAACTCCCATTCTAACTGTCTTCTAATTACCGTAATAGCAGCAGAAAAATGGCGTCGTTAAATTCGTCTTCTCTGTTGCGACTTCAGTCTCCAGCAGGCGGCAGGACGTCAACGGTTAACAACCTGCCCGTCAATCAAACCTGTTTCTCGTGACTTTATTTCCGCCTCTAACTCAGTTGCGCTGCTCTGATTGGTTTCGTCTTCATCCAATCAGCGGCGCCAGGGCAGATGTCACTATGGTGACGGCAAAAAACCGCCCAATTGTGTGTCACATGACTGCCAGCTGATAACAGGAAGTTTTTTTGCACGTTGTCATCGTTGTGCAAGGTAGATTTTTATTGTTTAGTTGACATTTTCTGCTGCTCCTTGTTAAAAGTGAATAGTTTAGGGTTTATGTAATTTTATTTAAAATTTATCTTAAATAAATTCGTTCAACGCAGAGTAGTTAAAACTGTGATGTTTATGACAATTTTAAGCTTATACCGATCATTTAGCTGTCATTACTGAATGGTGTTTATAGCTTTAAGTTCAGTTCTTAAACTTTGCTAAACCTCTTACATTTACAGTGCTTTAATGTTATTTCGCACCATTTTATCCTAGTGTTTAATTGCCATACCCCATGTGTTTCTTCATCATTGACAGAGCTGGGTTTTCAGCACCAGATGTCTTCCCATTCTGTTGCCCTAAACGCCGGGCTTCAGATGCCTCTGCTGGGTCTGGGGACCTACAAGCTCTGTGGCCCTGCAGATGTTTATCAGGCTGTGGATGCTGCTCTGGCTGCTGGATACAGATCCTTCGACAGTGCAGCAGTCTATCGCAATGAAGCTGACTTAGGCAAAGCTCTGAGAGAACTTCTTCCAAAACATGGCTTGACTAGAGAGGATGTGTTCATAACCAGGTGGTTATTTTTTTTCTTCTGTAGTTAATTGTTTATATTGTGTGTAATGTCCTTTCCTCTATGTTTTGCTGCAGTAAGCTGGGCCCTAAGGATCAAGGTGTGAAGGCGATGGACGGGGCCCTCCACAGTTTGTCCGAGCTGGACTTGGAGTACATTGATCTCTACCTGATCCATTGGCCTGGTACTCAAGGACTGCAGGTGGCTGATGACCGCAACCCAGGTACAGGACAGACCGTATGATTGTTTTCCTTGGAAAAATAGCACTTTCATTTCAATGCTTTTCCTTCCACTCTGACTCCCTCAACTTTTGTCACATTGCAACCACCAACTTTAAAATATTTTATAGGGATTCTATGTGCTAGTCCAACACAAATTACTACTAGAGCACAGCTTCTTCATTTTTGCACAGGTAAACTTGTTGTATGTGTTTCTGAGTGTTTGGTGTTAGACATAAATGTTTCTTAGAGTAGAGATTGACTATTTGTGATTGTTTTCTTGTATTGGCATCAGACACCGGGTTTCTTTAAATCAAGGTTAAAAACCCATCTGATTAGAGTTGCCATTGACTATTTCTATTGATCAATGTTCATTTGCTTAATGATTTTGACTATGGCATTTGACAAAACTTAATGTTTTCTGTTTGTTTCATAATTGGTTGCTGCGTTATGTTTTTATGATGTAAATCACTTTGAACTGCCTTGTTGCTGAAATGTGCGCTAACAATTTATTTGAAGGGGTGTGAATAAGACTGACATCCCGCTGTCATAAACAAGACATAACACCTGTCAAGAACATGAAGGAGTCTTTATGAATGTTTATGACAGTTGTCAGGAACTGTCATTTGGTAAATAATGACCCTTCATGACAACTGTAAAACGTTCATAAAGACTCCTTCACGTTCATGACAGATGTTACGTCATGTTTATGACAGTGTGATGTCAGTCTTCAATAAAGTGTTACCAAATGTGCGCTATAAATAAACTTGATTTGACTTGACCAATAAAGCCTCACTGATGTAGACATTTTTAATCACAAAGGTCCAATTAGCAAAACCTTGAGACTCCAAAAAGAAAAAGAACTTCTTCAATTTATATCAGGATTAACTTGTGGCTCTTATAGATTCTTCATAGTGGTTGTTTTTAGTGTTTCACCGACACATTTTTACTCTTAACTCTTGTAATTAAGATTTTACGCTGGAGATCAGCTCTCATTTTACTTCAATATGATATGAACTAATATCTCAGTGGTTAAAGTGTTTTTTATTTGCTCAAGAATTAGTGGATTATGTACTGAATAACACTGACCTCTCATGTTTGCTCCCTAAAATATAGATGGAGGTTTTGTGTAACAGGATGATGTAACGTTTGATTCCAGGTAACCGAGCTCAGAGTTGGGCTAGTCTGGAGGAGCTGCATGGTCAGGGGAAGCTGAGAGCCATTGGAGTCTCCAACTACACACCAGCACACATGAAAGCTCTGATGCAAAGCTGTAAAGTCCCTCCTGCAGTCTTACAGGTAGTCTTACATTGCGCATTAGCTTGTTTAATCACAGTGGATTTCTGCATGACTGTCTGTCTCTTACATCGTTCAGCTCTCCCAAGTTCTCACTGCAGCATTTCAAACCAGGATTGAGTTCTGAACTTTGACTAGGCCATTCCAGCACCTTAATATTTCAAGGATCAACGTTCTGTTGATAACCCATTTTGGTTTGAGTATTAAAGCTGCGGTATGTAACTTTTATTTTAAAAAAACAAACAACTTTTTTACATATTTGTTGGAACTGTCACCATGTCATGACAGCATAATATGAGACAGATAATAAGTGAAAAAATCATCTCCTCCACCTCTTTGCTGAGCTACTATCACAGTTTCAAGAAATGCACAGCTCCCGACCAAAAACACCCAATCAGAGTCAGGAGGAGGGGCTTAGCGCTGTTAGTCATCGTCATGAACGCGCTGCTAAATGTGCTAGTAATAGAGAAACAAATTACCATTACAGTAAAACCTTTGATCCGCCATCATCGGTGGCCATGCTAACTAGCCTTAGCATTCACGACAGACTGTAGTAGCAGAGAACAAAATACTAGTGATAAGTGAAATTATCTACCAGTAGAACAAGATATTTTTCCAGTCACCTTGATAAAATAACAGCCAAATAATTTTTTGTCAAGAAATGGCTTAGGCTGTTATTTACGGATATTATAATTGGGGGACAATGTCTTGTTCTACTTCACATTAGTACTTTTTCAATATTAAGGAATTATTTACTTAAAACAAGCTAACATTTGTTGCTGAAAAGTTACTTCTAAGTTAGTTTTGTCTTATTTCAAATATGTAGACCAAAAAACTCAATAATATTTGGTATTTTTGCAGTGTTTCTGGTTTATTTCTGAATCTTTGCTTCCTGCAGGTGGAGTTTCACCCGCGGCTCTGCCAGCCTGAACTGAGGAGTCTGTGTAAGGAGTTTGGTGTCTGTTTTCAAGCGTACTCATCTTTAGGGAAAGGAGAGCTGCTCACTGACCCGGTGATCCTGGAGGTGGCAAAGAACTCCAAACGCACACCTGCACAGGTACACGTCACTAACTGTGTCTCCATTAAACATAAAGCTGCACAATTTGAAATTACAAAAATAAATTTGCTCAACGGATACACGCCAATTTTGAAAAAACTCAATGTTTTGATAAAAGCGTTTTTTGAGCTGGGATGAGATTTTATTTTTCAGCCACGTCGCCATAGATGTATGTCACAGAAGTGAAACGGAAACACGTTTTCTCATCACACGAGTCACATGATTACCAGCTGGATGTTATGACTTGTAGCAGGATGATGGTTTGCTTTTGTTTTAAACTATGTGATCCCGGCTCCTCCAGAGCTCTCACTGCATCGCACAGTTCATAAAAAGTCGTGTGTCATTTGAACGTTTTGAATCCGTAGCTCTTCTGTAAAATGACCGACAATAGTTTCCCCAAAATGTCGCAAATGTAGCCGAACCCAAGCTTGAGGGGTTTGACGCTCCAAAGCCTGAATAAACGCCAAAACCTCCTCTCATGGCTGATGCATGATGAGCACTAGCGCCGTGGCTGATGAATAAAAAATCTCATGTAACCGTTTACATCTTCAGCTACCATGGTTTTAATTACTTATCCCTTGAACAAGCGATAAGTTTGAACAAGATGCGATTTTAATCATTTAACAGAAACATTACGCGATTGTAAAATTGTGTTTTTTCAACATTAGCAGAATATAGACAAAGATTTGTGCACATTTATAATTTAAATGCAGCTACTGTTTCAGTGCCAGTATTTTTAATTTTTTTCCTTTTGTTACCAGGTTTTGTTACGCTGGGCGGTACAGCAGGGCGTCCCGGTTCTTCCCAAATCCTCAAATCCAGAGCGAATACTCCGGAACGCCGAGGTGTTCGACTTCGCCCTGAGCGACCCGGATATGGACCGGCTGTCGGCTCTGGACTGTGGTCAGAGGTTCTGCTGGGATCCATCGGAGGTGGCCTGAAACAGCAGCCGGGGGTGGAAACAGGAGATCTGCCATGACGTTTTAAAACCTCAACAGAGGGAAAATGCAGACGGGATATTTGCTTCGTAGTCGAATCTCAGTTTGCTGTTTAAACCAAGAATCTACAGGATTTCTACACATTTTAACATTTAAAGGTAAAATTATTTTTAAAATGCTGCTGTTTGCACCTCTCATCCACACAGAAACAGTTTTACTGTGAGAAAAACTGAGATATTTGCCAGTCGCCCACCATCACTTCCTGATTTCACAACAAAGCAACTTTTTTTTTTTTTTTTTCATAGCTACCTCACTTTGTTCTGACATGAAAACTTCTAATATGTGTTGAAAACATTGTGTGGTGAAAATAAACAAAAGTCCAACTGTCATTGTTACCAACAGCAGAACCAATGGGTGTTCCTGTTTGTGGACCAAAGCTGAGCAAACAAAGGTTTCTGTTTTTGAAAATATCCTTAATAGTTCAAGCTGAGGCCTTAAATTTTGTTGTTTTTGGTTATTTTCATGCTATCTTTAGTGTTAAGTGTGTCTTTATTAAATGTTTGGTGCTACAGTATAAACTATCTTCAGCAATAATTTCACTGTATTTTGTTTTGATTTTACATGACTGACCAACACAAAGCAGTGCATATCTGAAGTGGATGGATAATTATACATTTTCTTCACAGGTACACATTTATAAAAGTGCATTTGTGTAACTCTGATGTCTTCAGTAAATTGTAACAAAGTCCCTTCAGAAGTTTTCTAATTAATAAACAGTCACCTGTGTGCAATTTAACCTCAGCATGAAACCAGATGTTCCACATCATATTTTGCATTGAAATCAACACATATATGGCAGCACTTGTCCATTAGCCACTGGCAGCCATGTTGAAACAACTTTTAATGAAATAACATACACAAATACGTACCATAAATGTTTTTTTTTCCAAACAGTACCTGTAAGACGGCTGCTTAAAAGAAAAATGCAGTAGCTTACCAGGATAACTTATAATCTTCATCTTCCTCCTGCGACCAACGTCGTCTTCTTAAGTGTCAGGATCGAACAGCATCACACTTCAGTCTCTCTTTCATTGTCGCTCTTCGCTCTTGAGCTTGTGCTGCACATTTTATGCGGCATTCAAAGCATGAAAGAAAAGTAGCAACTTATTGTCCAGAAAATACAGTACAGAAAAAGCTGTAATGCTTCACTTGTGAAGGTAAATCTGTTGCGCTCCTTCTCGACACTTTAGACAACAACTCTGAGTGTCGCACTGCCACGCAAGTTAAAAATTCACAAGGTGAGAATACGTTAGGCATTTTTTTAAATCTAAACTTATCCGAAACTGGAAATGAAAAGTTAACCCATACTATGCCTTGTTATAAATAAACTAGTCTGTCGGTAGAACTAGTACTTTTCATCAATGTTAAGGAATTATTTACTTAAAACAAGCTATTATATATTGCTAAAAAGTTACTTAAAAGTTAGCTTTGTATCATTTCAAGTGTACCTAGNATGTTTCTTAGAGTAGAGATTGACTATTTGTGATTGTTTTCTTGTATTGGCATCAGACACCGGGTTTCTTTAAATCAAGGTTAAAAACCCATCTGATTAGAGTTGCCATTGACTATTTCTATTGATCAATGTTCATTTGCTTAATGATTTTGACTATGGCATTTGACAAAACTTAATGTTTTCTGTTTGTTTCATAATTGGTTGCTGCGTTATGTTTTTATGATGTAAATCACTTTGAACTGCCTTGTTGCTGAAATGTGCGCTAACAATTTATTTGAAGGGGTGTGAATAAGACTGACATCACACTGTCATAAACATGACATAACACCTGTCAAGAACATGAAGGAGTCTTTATGAATGTTTATGACAGTTGTCAGGAACTGTCATTTGGTAAATAATGACCCTTCATGACAACTGTAAAACGTTCATAAAGACTCCTTCACGTTCATGACAGATGTTACGTCATGTTTATGACAGTGTGATGTCAGTCTTCAATAAAGTGTTACCAAATGTGCGCTATAAATAAACTTGATTTGACTTGACCAATAAAGCCTCACTGATGTAGACATTTTTAATCACAAAGGTCCAATTAGCAAAACCTTGAGACTCCAAAAAGAAAAAGAACTTCTTCAATTTATATCAGGATTAACTTGTGGCTCTTATAGATTCTTCATAGTGGTTGTTTTTAGTGTTTCACCGACACATTTTTACTCTTAACTCTTGTAATTAAGATTTTACGCTGGAGATCAGCTCTCATTTTACTTCAATATGATATGAACTAATATCTCAGTGGTTAAAGTGTTTTTTATTTGCTCAAGAATTAGTGGATTATGTACTGAATAACACTGACCTCTCATGTTTGCTCCCTAAAATATAGATGGAGGTTTTGTGTAACAGGATGATGTAACGTTTGATTCCAGGTAACCGAGCTCAGAGTTGGGCTAGTCTGGAGGAGCTGCATGGTCAGGGGAAGCTGAGAGCCATTGGAGTCTCCAACTACACACCAGCACACATGAAAGCTCTGATGCAAAGCTGTAAAGTCCCTCCTGCAGTCTTACAGGTAGTCTTACATTGCGCATTAGCTTGTTTAATCACAGTGGATTTCTGCATGACTGTCTGTCTCTTACATCGTTCAGCTCTCCCAAGTTCTCACTGCAGCATTTCAAACCAGGATTGAGTTCTGAACTTTGACTAGGCCATTCCAGCACCTTAATATTTCAAGGATCAACGTTCTGTTGATAACCCATTTTGGTTTGAGTATTAAAGCTGCGGTATGTAACTTTTATTTTAAAAAAACAAACAACTTTTTTACATATTTGTTGGAACTGTCACCATGTCATGACAGCATAATATGAGACAGATAATAAGTGAAAAAATCATCTCCTCCACCTCTTTGCTGAGCTACTATCACAGTTTCAAGAAATGCACAGCTCCCGACCAAAAACACCCAATCAGAGTCAGGAGGAGGGGCTTAGCGCTGTTAGTCATCGTCATGAACGCGCTGCTAAATGTGCTAGTAATAGAGAAACAAATTACCATTACAGTAAAACCTTTGATCCGCCATCATCGGTGGCCATGCTAACTAGCCTTAGCATTCACGACAGACTGTAGTAGCAGAGAACAAAATACTAGTGATAAGTGAAATTATCTACCAGTAGAACAAGATATTTTTCCAGTCACCTTGATAAAATAACAGCCAAATAATTTTTTGTCAAGAAATGGCTTAGGCTGTTATTTACGGATATTATAATTGGGGGACAATGTCTTGTTCTACTTCACATTAGTACTTTTTCAATATTAAGGAATTATTTACTTAAAACAAGCTAACATTTGTTGCTGAAAAGTTACTTCTAAGTTAGTTTTGTCTTATTTCAAATATGTAGACCAAAAAACTCAATAATATTTGGTATTTTTGCAGTGTTTCTGGTTTATTTCTGAATCTTTGCTTCCTGCAGGTGGAGTTTCACCCGCGGCTCTGCCAGCCTGAACTGAGGAGTCTGTGTAAGGAGTTTGGTGTCTGTTTTCAAGCGTACTCATCTTTAGGGAAAGGAGAGCTGCTCACTGACCCGGTGATCCTGGAGGTGGCAAAGAACTCCAAACGCACACCTGCACAGGTACACGTCACTAACTGTGTCTCCATTAAACATAAAGCTGCACAATTTGAAATTACAAAAATAAATTTGCTCAACGGATACACGCCAATTTTGAAAAAACTCAATGTTTTGATAAAAGCGTTTTTTGAGCTGGGATGAGATTTTATTTTTCAGCCACGTCGCCATAGATGTATGTCACAGAAGTGAAACGGAAACACGTTTTCTCATCACACGAGTCACATGATTACCAGCTGGATGTTATGACTTGTAGCAGGATGATGGTTTGCTTTTGTTTTAAACTATGTGATCCCGGCTCCTCCAGAGCTCTCACTGCATCGCACAGTTCATAAAAAGTCGTGTGTCATTTGAACGTTTTGAATCCGTAGCTCTTCTGTAAAATGACCGACAATAGTTTCCCCAAAATGTCGCAAATGTAGCCGAACCCAAGCTTGAGGGGTTTGACGCTCCAAAGCCTGAATAAACGCCAAAACCTCCTCTCATGGCTGATGCATGATGAGCACTAGCGCCGTGGCTGATGAATAAAAAATCTCATGTAACCGTTTACATCTTCAGCTACCATGGTTTTAATTACTTATCCCTTGAACAAGCGATAAGTTTGAACAAGATGCGATTTTAATCATTTAACAGAAACATTACGCGATTGTAAAATTGTGTTTTTTCAACATTAGCAGAATATAGACAAAGATTTGTGCACATTTATAATTTAAATGCAGCTACTGTTTCAGTGCCAGTATTTTTAATTTTTTTCCTTTTGTTACCAGGTTTTGTTACGCTGGGCGGTACAGCAGGGCGTCCCGGTTCTTCCCAAATCCTCAAATCCAGAGCGAATACTCCGGAACGCCGAGGTGTTCGACTTCGCCCTGAGCGACCCGGATATGGACCGGCTGTCGGCTCTGGACTGTGGTCAGAGGTTCTGCTGGGATCCATCGGAGGTGGCCTGAAACAGCAGCCGGGGGTGGAAACAGGAGATCTGCCATGACGTTTTAAAACCTCAACAGAGGGAAAATGCAGACGGGATATTTGCTTCGTAGTCGAATCTCAGTTTGCTGTTTAAACCAAGAATCTACAGGATTTCTACACATTTTAACATTTAAAGGTAAAATTATTTTTAAAATGCTGCTGTTTGCACCTCTCATCCACACAGAAACAGTTTTACTGTGAGAAAAACTGAGATATTTGCCAGTCGCCCACCATCACTTCCTGATTTCACAACAAAGCAACTTTTTTTTTTTTTTTTTTCATAGCTACCTCACTTTGTTCTGACATGAAAACTTCTAATATGTGTTGAAAACATTGTGTGGTGAAAATAAACAAAAGTCCAACTGTCATTGTTACCAACAGCAGAACCAATGGGTGTTCCTGTTTGTGGACCAAAGCTGAGCAAACAAAGGTTTCTGTTTTTGAAAATATCCTTAATAGTTCAAGCTGAGGCCTTAAATTTTGTTGTTTTTGGTTATTTTCATGCTATCTTTAGTGTTAAGTGTGTCTTTATTAAATGTTTGGTGCTACAGTATAAACTATCTTCAGCAATAATTTCACTGTATTTTGTTTTGATTTTACATGACTGACCAACACAAAGCAGTGCATATCTGAAGTGGATGGATAATTATACATTTTCTTCACAGGTACACATTTATAAAAGTGCATTTGTGTAACTCTGATGTCTTCAGTAAATTGTAACAAAGTCCCTTCAGAAGTTTTCTAATTAATAAACAGTCACCTGTGTGCAATTTAACCTCAGCATGAAACCAGATGTTCCACATCATATTTTGCATTGAAATCAACACATATATGGCAGCACTTGTCCATTAGCCACTGGCAGCCATGTTGAAACAACTTTTAATGAAATAACATACACAAATACGTACCATAAATGTTTTTTTTTCCAAACAGTACCTGTAAGACGGCTGCTTAAAAGAAAAATGCAGTAGCTTACCAGGATAACTTATAATCTTCATCTTCCTCCTGCGACCAACGTCGTCTTCTTAAGTGTCAGGATCGAACAGCATCACACTTCAGTCTCTCTTTCATTGTCGCTCTTCGCTCTTGAGCTTGTGCTGCACATTTTATGCGGCATTCAAAGCATGAAAGAAAAGTAGCAACTTATTGTCCAGAAAATACAGTACAGAAAAAGCTGTAATGCTTCACTTGTGAAGGTAAATCTGTTGCGCTCCTTCTCGACACTTTAGACAACAACTCTGAGTGTCGCACTGCCACGCAAGTTAAAAATTCACAAGGTGAGAATACGTTAGGCATTTTTTTAAATCTAAACTTATCCGAAACTGGAAATGAAAAGTTAACCCATACTATGCCTTGTTATAAATAAACTAGTCTGTCGGTAGAACTAGTACTTTTCATCAATGTTAAGGAATTATTTACTTAAAACAAGCTATTATATATTGCTAAAAAGTTACTTAAAAGTTAGCTTTGTATCATTTCAAGTGTACCTAGACAAAAATACTTGGTAAGATTTGGGGTTTTGCAGTGTTTATCTTTACAGCTTTCAAAGCATCGCCTTTTTACCAAACGACAGAAACTAAGACGACTTCAGTCAATCTTAAAATCATTTATTCATGACAGCATATATCAATTTTCACAGCTGTAGAGAAAATACATTTACAAAAAGTCATTAAAAACTGAGAAAAAGAATAGAAAAGAAAAATCAGATAAAATTCAGTTTTCTTTACACACATCTGTAGATTCAAGTAATACTAACATCGTATGCAAAACTCCTGGTGCCCATGCGGGTTTTTCTTTACTCCACAGATTCGCTCTGTCAGAGTCTGAAATGTCCCTTCTCAGTCTGGACAGAGAGCTCACGTCCATCTAAACCTGCTGTGCTATTTCTGGAGCTCTAAACGGGGACAGCGAGCGTTTAAGACTGGTTCAAGGCTGGCTCTGTGTTGTCGATTCACTGGTAACAAAAACGTTCAAGGCAGCTCATTGAATAACTAAGCACTTAAATCCCAGCTCAGCTTCGGTTCGGATCTAGTCCCTCTTCCAACATTAGAGTTCAAGTAAATGTCCACCTATGGAGACGTAAAGCTTTCCTAAGTGACGAAATCAAAGTGAAAGAAATGGGATCCACCAGTAGTCATCAATCATTTTTAAACAGTTGTTGGTTCAGTCTCTGTGGCACCGTTCAGATTGTCTGGAGTTCTCAGATTAAAATGCATACCAGGCAAAAATAAACAAAACGAAAAAGCTACAGAAGACTGAACCAGAGTCATAAAATGTTATTACAGACAAACCCGAGCACTTCACAACTCAACCCTACAAGCCGAGAGGAAGACGATAAGACACAAGCAGAACGAACTTATCACCATTGCTAATAATCACATATTAGACAAGCCTTGCTTTGTTTTTTTTTAAACCAAGCTGTGTATGAAACGCTGATTTTATATGAGGCAACAATGATATCCAAAAATGTTTAAATATGTGCCAAGAATTGCTCATAAATCAGAGTACAATACAAGTTATTCCAGTGAGAAGAAGTTTATCCACACGCTGATGAACAATTTTTTATAAAAACAAGAGTACAAAGTGACTTTTCTGAACAAAGTCTGCGGAAAGTTTGGATACAAAAAGCATCTCGTCTTTAAACAAGACAAGATGAGAACTCCTCCTGCCATTAGTTGAGGCCTGCAGGAGCCGATTCATTTAAACAGTAACATTTATCACAACAGCCGTGGATTGTGCAAAGCCTATTGCTTACTGAACAGCTGGGAAACCTCGTAAATAAACTTCTGGTTAATCCATTTTTATTTAAAACCTCCACCAAAGTCATTTGAATAAATATTTACACCATATTTACAGCTAAAAATCTTTTTTTTTTCTTGTTTGTTGTTTTTATTTTTTTGCTTGTCCAAGTCTTTAAAAAGATAGGCTTGTTTTGTGCTTTTATATTTAGGCTTTAATGTCGCCGGCTACAATCTAAACCCTGAAGTTTTATAATATTTGTGCATCGTCACAGATTGTCCCACTAACAAGATTGTTGTTCTTTTGATAAATTTGTTCTAATAAAGCAGTTCTCTGATAGTCAAGCACGATTGTTAACGATAGAATAGGCTTGCAAGCAGCGAAACGAGAAGTTTGTATTAAAAAAAAAACAAACATTAAAGGTTCCTGGATTACATTAAAAATCACGACAAAACTGTGAAGAAACAGGGCTTGTTTTAACTCCTTAAGGGCATTTATCATCATATTTTACATTAAAACCTTCAAATCTTGAAATGTAAAGAATTCCCCATCTGTTTTTCCAGTTGTGCTTAGAAAGTAATCTTTAAACCACACTTTTCAAAAAGAAAAACAGAAGCCTTTCGTCAAGCTCGCAAAAACAGGAAGGCACTACCATATATAGACATGTCTGCAATGGAACAGTCCAGAGATTTCTGCCAGGAAGGATTGTTTTCTTGACCAAAAAAAGACACTTAATCCGATCATACTGAACGGATCTGCGGCTGCCAACCTGAAGAGGCGAGTATGCAGCACAGTTAACAGGTAGTCAACAGCCTGACCACTGAAGTGGCCGCAGCTGTTGTTTGTGAGCATAAAGTTTGCCGGAATAAGGAACTGACATGTGAAGCATTAGCTTGAAGTGACTTTTTATGGGGAAACAAACTGTAGATAGACAAAAGTGGTTTTGAGTGGTTTTACTGAAGAAGTCCTCGGAATCAGGTTTGTACAGCTACGTTACCATCATGTAGTTAAACCTTTATTAACAAAACGCACTTATGTGGAGGAAAATGAGACGTACATAATCACTGCATGGCTCCCTAATTTAAAATATTCTGGTTTTTCCAGAATGTTGCTCTAAATTACAGTTTTTTTGGTCGACCACGGAGAGCTTTTAAATCCATAGGTTGGGTGCCGGTTTGTCGAGTCTCAAATCCACTGTTTGAGCGCAACTTTGTTCCTGATTTCTTTTTTCTAATTGAACAAACTGCTACAAAAATCTTGACTTTATTCATTTAAATTGCAAGCTGAAGACTTTTCCATTGCTGTTTTTATTAGGCAAACCTTGAGTTGTGTATTTAAGAACCAGTCCAGACACCAGAACATAGTTATAAATAAAAAAAAAAGATGTAAAAATGATAATACATGCCCTATAACCACTTCATCACTTCTCCCAGAAAAACCAGTTTGCCTCTGGACTTTTTGTACTTGTCTTTGGGTTTCTTTGTCCAATCTTGCAGTTGATTGAAACAAAATTTCTCCTCTACTGTGAGAAAACAATGAATAAGATCGACCAAAACTAGCAGGCAGAAATGAATCATAACCAATGGAAATGAGGTGTAATATCAAAGATGGTACCCAATTTTAAGTAAGATTATGAACATTTATCTTCATAACTCATAAAAGTAAAATATTATGAATGGAAATTGGCTGATATGTAATGCATAAGTACATACAAGTACCAAATCCCAACGGACATCCCAATTTCTAAAGCCTATAGAGATAAATTATGAGCATCAATCAGTCAGACTTTGATTGTCGATAATATATTTGACCATCTAGATCTAGATTGTATTGACCAAGATGCTGAAGCTCTGGGAGAGAAGTGAGGACAAAATGATGACGATGGAAAACAAATTAAAAACACGAGTTATTTGCAATCAGTATTCAGCAACAATATAGCAACTGCATTTTCCTGATATCCAGCAGATGGGTGTAACGTTGGGGTGTACGGAGAAGGAGCAAACTGAGCTGTTTACCAAAACAAAAATCCAAATTGGTGCATTTGTTAGCCTCTGGTGCAATAAAATAAACTCCAATGTAAAACACCAACTTCTTCCATCCACTAATTGCAAGTCTAAATAAACTTTTAAGATATCATCTCACTTTCGCCGTATTTTGACTTACTTTTCCTATGATACAATGGACAGCCTAACATTACTAAATTACAGCTAACACTTAATAAAAAAAATCTAATGTGTATAGCAAAGACATAAAAACAAAACCTATAAATGATCTATTTAGCCAAGTCCTTAAACCTGGAAACCTTTTTTCGTTCACAGGTTGTTCAGTGGTTTTTCTCCCCACCATAAAAACCTTGTTCAACCCTTGTGCTCCTCTCTGAGGGTCTACTCGGTGCGGGAGGCGTGGTTTTCGTGGTGGTTGTTCTCTCCCTCCGTCTCCTGGTGACTGAAGAGGTAGCTCCACCAGCTCCTGGAGTGGTGTATCGGTCTGTTCGACCCGGTACTGCTCACCTTCCTCATTTCCTGGGTGACACAAAAGCAGAAACATAAAACAATTGCCATATTTAAGTAGTAACTAAACTCCAAAGACACTTCTCTTTTTTGGTAGATAAGATGCACGGATTGGTTTTTAAAGGTGCTGTCTTTATTTTTCTGTGCAATTTTTTACATTTTGGTGTAAATTTGATAAACTCTTCAGTAATTTGCCTGAAACGGTCTCAGTGCTGCGGGAGCTGTGTGTCTGAGTTAGACCATTTTACAACCATACCTAATAACGGCACACTGTCTCAAACAAATAGGAGAATCCTACTGCTTAGGCACCATTTGACTGAAGGAGCTTATTTCTTATTTCTTCCTGACCAGAGCCTCGCTAACCCCCTCCACTCATCCCCACATTTTGCCACGCCCCTAAGGGTATCTTGGCTCCGCCCACTTCGGTTAAACTGTTCTAAACTGGGCAGGGGGCGGGGCTTATGCTTTCACAGACGGGCTGGTTACACTTTAAGCTTTTTTTTACATCAATAAAGCTCATAGATTCCTCATCCT